AAAGGAATCCAGGAAGAAAAAAGCAGCTCAGACAGAAAGCTCTGGATACCCCCAGAGTACATTTCTCCGTACACAAATCCCTCCTTACCTACCTCCCTCCCTCCCTCCCTCCCTCCCTCCCTCCCTCCCTCCCACTCGCGCTTTGATATTTAATTCCTTGCCGTCAGGAATGCGTCTTAGACGACGGGCAAACATTGCAAGCTCCTCTTATCTACAGGTACTCAGTCTCTCCTACCAATCGACATCTCTCGTCGCTCATTCCTCCCTCCTCCCGCTTCCTTGCTGTAGGTGTCTCGGATCCTACCCTCGCAGTGATCCCCTGCAGGAGGAGTTTGAAGGTGAAGAAACAGCTTCTGCCGTGCTCGACGTGCTGATAGAAAAGTCAGACAAACTTGACAGCAGGGGAGCGATCAGGGTGAATAGCTTCCTTCAGGCATGTGATCCCTCCACTCACTCGCTCACTCACTTGTTTCCTTCCTGGCTGTCCCTTCTTCCTCTTGCTCTTCTCCCAGTTCATTGACCCGCAGGCATGTAGGTGATCGGATGTAGCAACGTATATGCAGCTGGAGATGTCACAGTACACGCTCAACACACTGAGGTAAGAGGAGAGGAGGAGAGGACGTGAAGATGGTATGCAAGAGTATGGGAAAGCAGGGGAAGGGGTAGAGGAGGAGAGGAGAGGAGAGGAGGAGAGGATGTAGGAGGAGGGTTCTGGAGAGGAAATTCACGATAAAATTCGCCTCAGGAGAAGACGGGGTACACTGCAGAACAGAACGCCAAGTTAGCAGCTTCCAACATTGTCCGAGATGTGAGAAACGATGATCGAGGTTCTGGATGTGACAAGAGTCAAACTTTGACGTTTTTGTCGCTCGTCCTGGCAGATCGAAGGCAAAGAGCTCCTGTCTTACCCTGACGGTCTGTTCGGGGAGGGACAGGCGACTCCCACCATTTTCTGCGTCTCTTTGTCGAAGTATGACGGGGTGAGAAATTGACAGGAGCAGGAGGAGCAGGAGCAGAAGTAGGAGCACGAACCAGGAGCAGGAGCACGAACCAGGAGCAGGAGCAGGAGCAGGAGCAGGAGCAGGAGCAGCAAGAGTAGAAGAAGGAGCAGCAGCAAGAGCAGGAGGAGCAGGAGCAGGAGCAGGAGCAGGAGCACGAAGCAACTCGTATGATGAAGCACGGCAGGTGGTGATATTCAACTCTCTCATTCTAACAGGAAAGATTGCTGCCGTGTTCAAGTGGCTCATCGAGGTGAAAACCAAACTGTAATTGCGCATCAAAAACTCTGACCAGCGCCATTCGACCCCATGTGCAGTGGACCAAGGTGGCGTCAATGAGAGGAAGACCAGTGGGAAAGCTGTTCTGGCAAGTTGCCGACGTCGCTTCCATATTTTTATCAAACTACATCTTCAGGCCCAAAAAAGATTCGAAATCTTTAGCCTGAGCACTAATAAACATCGCAATTCTGCCCCCATGGAACAAACATGCGTGTCTCAACGACATAACTGTCCCCTTCCCTCCTGCTCTGCCATCAACACCACCATCTACTCCTCATTATCGTCCTCATCCTTCTCTTCCTCCTCCTCCTCCTCCTCCTCCTCCTCCAACTTCCTGTTTCTGTCGGTGCATCTGTCTGTGCGTTTCTCATCTAAGGCGCAAACATCAATTTCAGTCACGATCTCCGTCTCAGCTCTTGAGATTCTTCAGACGAGCCTGCGACAGACGTCAACGAGGAGGGGAGAGGGCAGTCACAGCATGCCTCCAGGTCTGCATCCAGATCCTCCTGCGCGTTCGCTGCTGCTGCTGCTGCTCGTAAGGGTCAGAGCTACATCCTCAGACTCAATCGACTCACTTGGAGCCGCATGATGCATCTGATCGCCAAGATCGATTCCGATCTCCGACAGGACCTGCCACAACAGTAAGACGAGCACGCGCGGAGAGACGGGAGGTTATCGACCTGTCCTATCACTTCGTCCACCTGCGCCTCTTCATCGTCGGCTTCGAACGCATCATCGATCGCGTCATCCATCATCTCCTGAGCTCCACATGTCAGCACGCGATGCTTGAGAGCTGCGAGGTCAGTCGCACCTGCTTGCTGTCCATGATCTCACTTTGCTTCTCAAACTCGAAGAGAATCCTCTGCATGGCGATCGGGTTGACCTTGGCATTCATGCCCTTCATGGCTTTCGCCGCTCCTTTCATGGCTTCTGTCATGGCCTGAGCAGCTCTGTCTCAGAACCAGCAAGCAACTGAGAGCAACCGACAGACCTGCGTCGATTTGATGGTTTGAAGTCGAAGGCCAACAGCCTGCATCTGACATTTCATTTGATAGAACTTCGTGATTTGAGCTCTTGTTCGGACTAGATCCTTCGCCATGACACGCACAGGGCCCTGAAACAAGACGATGGCAGTGATTATCGTGTCAATTGATGGATACAATCCTTTTACCATCTGCCCCTCTTTCGCCGCCTTGCGTATGTCGTTGATGATCTTCTTTTCCTGAGTTTGTAGTTTGGTCTTTTCTCGTTCGATCTCTCGCACAGACTTGTCCACATTCCTCTTGTATTCTCGCATCAATTCTAGAGTGCTCGTCAGTGATCATGTGGTCAGACTTACATGAGATCTTCGCATACCTTGAGGAGTTTTCTTCTTTCCTCCAAACAAAAACGACATCTGTCGGAAAGGTTCACTCTCGGAACAAATAGGGTCTTATCTTGGAATTCTCTGCACCCCATGATAATTTCATCTCCATCTGATTTTCATCAACACTATTCGCTTCCTCCTTTATCTTCTTTCCTGAGTTCTCTATTGCTTCCGGTGTTGTTCTTGCAATGTTCTTGCATTCTCACTGGAATCTCTCTTCCTCCTCCTCCTCCTCCTCCTCCTCCATGTGTTCTTACCCAACTTCATCTATCCTCCTCACCCTTCTTCGTGACATTCTCCTCCTCCTCTCTTCTCCTCCTCCTCTCTTCTCCTCCCCTCCCGTTTCCCTCTCAATTTCAACGCTTCGCTACGGCTGCATTCCCGGGGGTCAATCAGGGCCTTTAAGCTGGGGTAGAGGACTTACAGTAGGGTGGGTGGGGGTGCAAACAGGATAAAGGTAGGGTATTCCGAGGTTTTGGTTCGATGTCGGGGGGGTAGGGGTGGTTTGAGGTGGTTTGAGGAAACACTCAGTACCCCCTTTTTGAATCGATGTTGTACCGGTGGTACCTATTGAGAGACTTGCTGTAGGAGGTCACCCGTGATCGCTTGAAAAAAATATCTGTAAAAGTCTGCTTCCAGTGCACTTACTGCAGCACCGAGACCGTCGGTCGGCTCGGACGGTCCGACCCGGTCGACGGGGCGGCCAGTGCCCCGGCGCGGCGCGGCCCACTGAGCCGCCGGGGAACCGGTCCCGGCGATCACCCCCGGCCCGGGTTGCACATGATCAGTCTTCCAAGTCAGACTATCCAACACAGCACTGCGGCAACATGATACCAGAAGCTGATTGTATAGATTGTGTCGAAGCGAGCCTACGGAAAGATCGAAGCCGGTGGCCCGGCAGGGTTGTAGGGCCTCCACTGAGAACGAAGGTGACATTCAGCGTCATCATTTGCGGAGAGGTCACTGTACCTTTCCATGTACACAGATTCGAGGGATTCCTGGCTGATAGCTTCGATCACAGCACAGAAGCGATTGAAACACAGCCAATACTCTCTGCACCTGCCGCCATGGCAGTAGCCTTGATATTCAACAGCTTTGAAACCGAATGAAAACCTACCAAGTGACAGTCCTAGTACACGCCCTCGACGGCATTGCCGCCCCGGCGGCCTCCACCACTGTGACCGTACCACTGAGGGTGATACAATCTCTGGACTAACAGAAGAGCCTCCACTGCTGCTCGCAGTTGCCGTGCCGCCAGTGCAGGCTGAGGTCCCCACTATCCGTAGAGGGCGACCACGGATGTTGGTGCGACGTGTAGCGGAGCGAGTACCATAGGTGTGCGACCGCCGAAAAGCTGTACGAAGCTCTTCAGCACTTGGCTCATCGGACAGCGGAGGAGTAGGTGGCGCCTCTGGCTCCGAGGGTCTGGCAGATGGGGGGTCCAAGGTAGCACCAGAACCTGTAGGAGATGAAGCTAAATTCGTACCAGTGTTGCCAACGGAAAGATGATCGTTCGATGAAGAGGGCCCTTCTGATACCACAGGGTCTCGTTGGAAAGCCTCCCAGAATGACTGCAAAGCAAGCTGAATCGTGCTGCTGAACCTTCCCCCCCCTGCTCCCCCTGCTCCAGTGGCAGGTGCCTCCTCCATTTTAAAATATCCAACACGCCATTTTGCCCATCAACCCACCCCTAGCTCATGATAATTTTTTTCAGGATAGCAGTACCGATACTCTTGTAAATACCACCCCTTTCCTTTAGCCGGATCCCGCTAAAACCTTTCCATACCCTACCCTAACCGCTGCTCTCAAGGATTGCAACATGGCGGTAGCACCAGAACCAGGAAGCTCAGGCGGTGGGCAACCCTGTGGACCTCTCACTTACAAGAAAGAGGCGCTGTACAAAACCGGATTCACACAGTTCCCAGAGGACTACCTTAGCAGGCGTGCAGAGCTTGTAGAGCACTTTTTTGAGCTCCCAGATAAACGCAAAATTTGCTACTGGACTGATGGCGACAAAGCCAGCGGTGTGCCAATTCTTTGCTTTCACGGAGGATGTGAAGGAAAGTCCAAGTGGATGCAGAAAAAAACTATCCCAGGGGTTTTCCTGATCGCCATAGACAGGCCCAATTATGGCAGGAGCTCGCCTGTCCCTCTCACTTATGCGTTCCCAGACGTTGTCAAAGACATTGGGTTGCTTGCTGATCATCTTGGACTCGATCAGTTTGTCTGCATGGGTCATTCTGTTGGCACTTGTTGGTGCCAGCAGATTGCTGCAGCTCTGCCAAACAGGGTTCGCGGGATCATCCTCTTCGCTGCAATGACGGATCCATGCGACCCAACAGCCGACTTAGATGTGAAGCTAGCTGTGGGATACTATCCCATGAAAGACTGTGGACCCTGCGGAAAGTGGGACTGCTGCTGTCACCCTTTCACTGGGTTGTGCGGCTGTATCCCAAGAAAAATTTTGATGAGCATGACGGGCCTTTCAATGAAGTCCATGGCATGTAAGATGGAAATGCAGTTCAAAAAGGGTGGGAAGACAGGATACGAGAAGTTCATCCAAGATCCGTTCTGGCAGGCAAGCATGGTGGACAGCTGGTGCGCTCACGAGGACGGAAAGGCAATTCTCGGGGACACAAAGCGGACGTTGTGTAACAAATGGACTTACAACACATCCGATATCAAGTGCCCCGTCTTCATCTATCAAGGGGATGGTGACATGGACGTGCAGGTGCCTGCGACGACGAATCAGCTGCAGAAGCTCCTTCCTCACGCCAAGATTGAAATCATCCACGACTACGGGCACATCTGCACGAATGGGCCCAACGACGAGACCGTGAGACGGGTGCTCAAGGCTGTCGCTGAAATGCCAAGGCTGGACGCGTCAAGGGACACCCAGACATCGAAAGACACACCAGAACCCGGCGCGGCCATCACGACCGTGACCAACAACAACGCGTGAAAAGTTGACGGGCGGCACGTGAAAAGTTGACGGGCGGCCAGCTAGCATCATGGTCTTCCAAGCAACTTGATCTGGTCTCGGGCTCGTAGTCTGGATCTGTTGGCGCTCGGGAGGCGCGGGAGCGGAGCTCGCTGCAGCCTGCAAGATCCAGAGATCATTAGGATTAAATAACAACATCAGGGATCATGTACAGATCACAAAGGTATTTCCGTTTCACTGGTCACGTCAGGTTCGTTGAAATCAATCTACGTGGTGAAAGCATTCGACAGAAAACTAGACACAGATCATCGGACTATCCTGATTTGCCCCTCATACACTCAATCTCTCTCTGTCTCACCCTCTCCCTCCCTCCTCCCTCCCTCCCTCCCTCCCTCCCTCCCCCTCCCTCCCACTGGCACCCCACTCAAAGCTTCTGGCTGCTTGCTAGCAGCGATCTGGCGTTCTCGCGCGGGAGAGCGGCGCTGGCCCTTGGTCGGAAGCGACGTAGAGGATGCCGGTGTGCGATGCCAGGCTGGGCTGGTTCATGACCGTTCGTCAGAAGTACATGACCGCTCGTCAGTAGTTCATCACCATTCGCCAGTATGAATGCTTCAATGTCCGAGGCTGTGATGGAACTAAAGAGATAACTCAAGAGATAGTTCAATTAGAGATAGTTCAATTGACTGTCCTGACTCATGCCAGTGGAGGATGAATCAAAATGTCTTTGATGAACATCATGAATGCTTCAGAGTCCGAGGCTGTGATGGGAACTAAGGGGATAGCTCAAGAGATAGTTCAGCTTATCTTATTCTCTATCTCTCTTCATTGCACCAACTCGCCAGGCATCTTCCCTTATCTCTAAGTTTGCACATCTAACAGCCCTGCATGTCCTTCGGGTATTTTTCAGCTGAAGCATTCCAACAGCAGCATGAACCACATGCTGGATCACATAAGACTGACTCTCAGTGGATGCACTCGGCAGGTTTTCATTCTCAGCTCCAGTATTGGACTGGCAAGGGATATGATGGCATCCCTCAAATCTGTATCTATGGGAAGGTATGCACCGCCTGAAAGCAGCTCCTGCTCTGCTCTGCTCTCTATCTTGAGTCCAACTTTCAAACTCTAGCAGCACTCAGAGACAGGCTGACTACGTTGTTTGATCAGTGGAGGCCACTCAACGAGATCACTGCGTTCGATTACACCATCTCAGTGTGTGCTTGCTCGCTACTAACTTCGGAGGCTTTCAAGCTGTCAGGAATTGTCTTCTCTGCTCTCATATCAGCTGTGATGATCGTGGGTATCATATCCTACATGTCAAAACAATTACAATACAGAATGTAGCTGCCTTCCATCCCGTACCGCCTGTGTCTGTCTCCTACTGAACCGGGCCATCCGACCAGAGTCGAGGCTTCCCGAAGTTCCGTCACTGCATCACGACAGTCGCAGTTGACTCGGTGACACGGACAGTCTAGAGAGACTCGTATCAAGGCAGGTCAGCCCAAGTACGCTGTTCAAGGTTCTGTCACCGAATTTATGAAAGTTTATATTCAACAACAAATACAACTGCCCATTGCCAACACTCTTTAATGAAAGTTTATATTTGGCAATAAATATCCTATAAACTGCCTCCCAAAACCTTGAGATGTGATATGACCCCCACACTTGACTATTGTACGAGTGAAGATTGTAAGGTGGGTGGGTACCAAGGCAGGGTTCTCTCATTCCACCACCCCCGCTTTCCTCAGAATGACACGTGGTAGGAAGAGGGGTAGGGTATAGAACTTCGATTGAAGGGGTTGCAGGTATGAGGGGTACTTGAAAAAATGTGTGAGAACAGGGGTGGGGTGGCCGGTCGTAGGAGGCCAGAGACATGCAAGGGAACCGAAAGGTTTTGGGGAGAGCCGAGAGGAGAAAGAGAAGAGAAAACAGGAATGATGAAGGATCGAAGATGACAGGAATGTAGACAGGAGGAGGAGAGAGAACTATGATAGGTCGCAGTGTATTGGAAGCTATGTGGTCCCATGATCGGATTCAGACGAGTCGGGACGAGTTTGAGATCTTGTGACGTGGAGAAAGCTGGAATACATGAGCTCTATACCATAGCTTACATAAGCGGAGGATAAAATCTTCTGATCAAAATCATGCTGCACTAATAAGAATCCATAAAGATCCGAGGAAGCTTGCAGTATTGAAGCATTCTCGTACTTTTTTTGTGAGGACTCTGTAAGTAACACTAGAATTGTACAGGAGGAGGAAGCGTGGACACTCTCCTGTTCCATCTCTTCTACTTTTCAGTCATCACCTGAGCAGGCATCAGCCGGTGCATCTTCACAATGCATCCTCTCGTAGTTGCTATGCGGCCATGGTTAGTACTTCTTTTTGTGTTTTCCGTGTTCCGTGGCATCGAGTGCTGACGTTGCTTGCTTGGCAGGACCTTCCCTGCTGCTCTGGTTCCTGTCCTCCTCACTGTCACTCTCGTCCACAGGTGACGCTCTCATTCTCATGGTCACAAGGACGAAAGCCTCTGAATTCCTTTCAGATCTGGAGTGGCATGGAGTCTACCAGAAATGGTGAGAGATCATTGCTTTTACCTTTCTCGTCCTCGTCCTCGTCCTCGTCCTCGTCCTCGTTCTTGTCCTTGTCCTTGTCCTTGTCCTTGTCCCTATCCACAAACAACAGCACTTGTTCAAGGTTGTCCTCGTCCTTCAGCCCTCTTTCCATTCCTGTTTACCTCATCTCCCCCTTCCCTACCCCCAGCTTCTTCCTGTTGTAAATCTTTGAACAGATCAGAGCAATCTTGCTGGGGGTGATAGTTCAAGCTGCATCTAACGTGATCAACACGGTAAGACAGGAGGCAAGAGATTCGTAAGGCGGAGGCAGGAGAGGTATTCGGACGGAAGGAGGAATTAGAGTCAAAGTGGACGAGTGAGGCACGGGAGCTGGAGTTCTGAGAAGCGCAGCCAGCTTGAAGCTGAGGGAGGGAAGGCACGTGGCAATAGATGAGCTGAGAGCAGCGCGATCACGCCATGATATATAGCCAAGGGAAAGCAGGGGAAGGGGCAGGGGCAGGGGCAGGGGCAGGGGCAGGGGCAGGGGCAGGGGCAGGGGCAGGGTAGTCATACAACGCTGACGCCTGCTCCTAGTATTGGGATTACGAGAACGGAGTGGATGGGCCCAACGTTGGATCGGGCGCGGACCCTTCAGTCGTGCTCCCCCACAAGGTCGTGCTGGTGGGCGGAGGACTGAAACCTCGTTCGGTTCTCGCGCTTGCACTGGTGCTTTACGGCTCCAGCCTCCTTGTCCTCTTGCCAAGGTTCAGCGATGGATATCGGATCCCGCTGCTCTACTTGTGCGGCACTTCTCTGTCCTACTTCTACACGGCTCCTCCGTTCAAGCTCAAGTACTTTGCGCTGGGAGATGCTGCGATCTTCATAGCGTTCGGCCCTCTCCTTGTCTACTGCACTATCCTCCTGGTGGCCCCGAAGAGTGTCGATGCCCTCTGGTGAGGATATGATGAGATGAGATGAGATGAGATGAGATGCGATGTATGTTTTCTATTATGTCTTGACGACATTGCCCAATCACGTGATCCAACTTGTGACGAGCCAAAGTCTGGTGTAGAGTTGTGCTGAAGTCGGCTGGCAGGGGGGAAGTCTTCGGCTACACCATCCCTTGCTCTTTCATCTGCGAGTGCATCTTGCATGCAAACAACAGCAGAGACATCGGAGAAGATTCAAAGTCGATCCCTTTCCTCTCTCCTCCCCCCTCCTCACCTACTGTGCAGGGCTGGCCTGGTCACTCTGGCTACGATCCTCGGATTCAATGGGAGCAAGAGGTACTAGTAGGCAGCTGTCAACTTCCACGCTGCCAGCTGCTTCTGCTCCTCCTCCTCCTCATCATCATCATCATCATCATCATCATCATCACTACCACTACATCCATCATCTCAGTACTTGATCACCATCTCCCCACTCTATCCTGTTCTTCTGACCTTCTCTTCAGAGTTTACGTGGGTCTCATTACTGCTGCCTACGTCACTGTGATCATCATGAGTGTGGGACAGAGACGCCTCGGAATGATGATGGTTTTGTTGTGAGTTCCTATCCCACCCCTGCTCGTGCTCGTGCTCGTGCTCGTGCTCGTGCTCATTCCCCCTCCTCCCCTCTCCCCTCTGGCTCCTCACACTTGTCCAGGTCCCTTCCTCTTGCCTTCGACGTCATCAGCCGGTTCACCCATGACATCAACAGGATGGCAGATCTCCCCAAGAGAACGGCAAAGGTGAAGATGAAGACGAGTCTGCATGTTGCTATCCTGACACCAGATGTCCAGCTTCATATGGCCTTCGGACTTCTGCTCATTGTCGGGGTTCTGATCAATTGATAGCCATGCAGTCGATCTTAGCATCTCCTCCTCCCCTCCCCCCCCCACCCCACCCTACCCACTTTTCCTTCTCCTCCGTACTTGTGCCCTCCTGCCCTGCTGCTGCTTTTAAAGATTTTTGCTCCACCCGAGTGAGAAATGCGGAAGAGATTGAGGAGGAGCGTAAGGTTTCCTTTTAGTAGCAAGACGCATCAACGGAAAACGAGAGAGACAAGGAAGGGTCGAAGGAGGAGGTGGAGGAGGTGGAGGTGGAGATGGAGGAGGGGGAAATGAAGGAGGAGAAGGAGGAGAAACTGGGGGAGGGGGAGTGGATGAATTTCCCCCCTCACGCCTTCTTGTCTGAGATCTTCAGCTGCTTTGCTGCACGTTTCCTCATGAAAAACTCGAGAATCTGGTAGGAAGATCAGAAGTAGATAGTGTCGGAGAGTCGAAGAATACGAGGAGGAGGGAAGAGCGGTAGAGTGTGAGGAGGAGGAAGAGAGAAGGAGGACGACGAAAAGGGAGATAGAAGAGGAGGAGGAGGAGGAGCAAGCAGCAGCAAGCAGTAGGAGGAGCAGGAGCAGGAGCAGGGTTCACATTCGGAGTGAGGACGCGGAGGAAAGGAGCGACATGGGCGTCAAAATCCTTTGCAATGATCGTCTGCAAATGATCAAGATCAGCATCTTCCAGCATGAGGAGAGCTGCTACTGCACCTGAGACTCTTGCCGTGCGATTGCAAAGAGAGCTTTCTGCTCGTTTCTCTCACTTGCTGCTGAGCATGTACACCCCGCCTCTCACCTCGACGAACGCCTCCGTCGTCATGCCCTTCTTGGCATTCTCATCCAACTGCATGCAGGGCAAGTTGGTAATGTCGAACATGTCAGATTCTCGCTTCACCTCTCCCATCTTCTCTCCCTGGGCGTTGATGGCGTTGATGGACAGAGAAGTCTTGACGTACCTGCGCGATGTGAGCGGGAGGGTCAAAGAAAAGGTCTTTCATATTTGCAATGACACTCGTATCACATCAAAAAGTCACACACGCTGAATGAACTCGTCGTCCTCATCCTTTCCCGCTCCCGCTCCCGCCCCTTATCCCTCCCTCCCTCGTCCTCGTCCTCGTCCTCGTCCTCGTCCTCCTCTCCCGTTCCTCACCCGGGGCAGATGACAGTCACTCCGATTCCTCTTGAAGACACTTCGGCACGAAGGCCATCGAAGAACCCGTGGAGAGCATGTTTGGAAGCGCTGGGCCAAGTGAGACGAACGCAAAGGGAGAGCAAGAGCGGAGAGAGGAGGGAAGAGATCAGAGGAAAAACCACGGAGAAGCGAGGTGGGAGAGAGAGTGCGAACTGGCGACAGGAGGGAGAAGGAGGGAGAGGACGAGGGAGGGAAGGGGTTCGAGGGAGGGAGGGAGGGAAGGAGGGAGGAGAGGGAGGGCGGCAGGTGTGGACGTGGCAAGTATTCTGCTCTGAAATCTCACCTGTAAGCGGTACGAGCAGGTAGAGCAATCAAGCCCTGCAAGGGTGAAAACCAGGGGAGGAGAGACGAATAGAGTAGACGACGACGACGAAGAGGCAGGTGAGTAGAGGAGGAGGAGGAGGAGGAGAAGGAGGAGGAGAAGGAGGAGGAGGAGGAGGAGGAGAGTCAATGCAGGAAGTGTACATCCAGCCTCTCATCCCACCTGCACCGAGCTGATGACGACGATCTGACCCGCCCGTCTCGCCATCATGGCGGGGAGGACGGCCTACAAGAGCGCTGAGAGGGACGCGGACAAGAAAAGTCTGAGAGACCTTGGTTAGAGCAACGGGCCCTAGGTAGTTGACGGTCATGACGTCTCGATCTAAACTCCATCTCATCTCGTCCGCAAATGATCTGGTCGATATCTACATGACACTTCAGCCACATGGTTGCGGACAGAACGGAGGGCCGGACCCCTCCATTGTTGACAAGCACGTCAATCTTCTCTTCCCCAAGGAGTTTGAACGCTCTCTGCGTTGCCTCCTCCATCTCCTCCGGCCTGCATCAGCGTCAGCCTCTCTTGAAAGCTCCTCGTCCTCGCCTTCCTGCTCAGGTCAAGAGGAAGGACGATCGGCTCGAACTTGCTTTCTCCCTGGCATGCGCAAGTCATCTGGAGGAGACCTCAAAGCAGACCAACAAGTTGCAGGCACGTCCTCTTCACCCTCTCAAGCTCTTCGACTCTTCTCGCGCTGATGACAACCTTTGCTCCTGCCCGATACAAAGACACGGCCTGTGGGCATCGGAGCCCGTGAGGAAGCGAGAGAGGGGAAGAGAGGGAGGGAAGGAGGGAGGAGAGGGTAGATGGGAGGGAGGCAGAGGATGGAAGACGACCTTGGGAGGTGGATTGAGAACAAGAAAGGCGCAGGAGGAAAGGGGGGGGGGGAAGAGACTCACAAGGGCCTCTCCTATCCCAGAGCTTGCTCCCGTTATCCACACTGTCTTGTTCCCAAAGTACTCAGAGAATATTTCCGCTCGGCTCTTGACGTTGTCTTGCAGTTTCGAGGCGATGAACAAGGCAGAAATCATTCCTCCTCCCCCAAGCACACCCATCCATCCACCCCCTAGAAACGCAGCAGAGGCTGCGAGCTGCGATTGACATGCCGTGAGGATGATTTAGAGGAGGAGGAGAAGAGGAGGAGGAGGAGGAGGAGGAGGAGGGGAAGTATAGTAGACCTGAGCGAGGAGGGAGGATAATCTCATCATGGTGAAACCTCGGAGCACCACCCTCGCGGCTCCATCCATGGCAGAGATCAGCAGGCAAGTGCCAACAACATGGGCGGCGGAGTCCGCAAGCGAGGCTGCAAGACAACGATGGAAGAGACGAGGGCGTGAGAATTTCGTCAAGCTGGGACGAGATCGTCCTCTACAAGACAAGGGTCGCGCGAGAGCAGGGTAGGCATGCTGGAACGCACCTGGAGAAGAAGTTTAGATGACCGAGAAGAGAATGAGGAAGGGAGAGTGGGAAAGGAGGAAAGACGGAGAGAGGAGACGGAAGAGGGAGGGGAGGAGAAAGAGAGAGAGAGAGAAGTAGGAAGGGGAAAGGAGCAGGGAACATGAGCACCTGGAGACAAGAAGCTGGCGGCAGGCTGCATGAAGGCTTGACTTGTCTGTGACTGCAAGTAATCAGTTCATTTCCAATCAACTTGAGGAGTCCTGGACCAGCACAATGATAATGGTGATGTTGGTTTTAGTGATGACGTTGGTGGTGGTGGTGATTATGATGATGACGACGACGATTACAACGAAGGTGATGGTGGTGGTGGTGATGATGGTGATAATAACAATTGCAAGAGAGGTGTTGGAGAAACAAGGATCTCAGTATCAGTGAGATGATAAATTTCTGCATCTGCTGGTGGATGCATAGAGAGCAGCATCTGGCAGAGCATGGAGACAGCATGCGAAGATCCTCACAGCATGGTGACAGCATGTGAAGATCCTCACAGCATGGTGACAGCATGCGAAGATCCTCACAGCATGGTGACAGGCATGTGAAGATCCTCACAGCATGGTGACAGCATGTGAAGATCCTCACAGCATGGTGACAGCATGTGAAGATCCTCACAGCATGGTGACAGGCATGTGAAGATCCTCACAGCATGGTGACAGCATGCGAAGATCCTCACAGCATGGTGACAGCATGCGAAGATCCTCACAGCATGGAGACAGCATGCGAAGATCCTCACAGCATGGTGACAGCATGTGAAGATCCTCACAGCATGGTGACAGCATGTGAAGATCCTCACAGCATGGTGACAGCATGTGAAGATCCTCACAGCATGGTGACAGGCATGTGAAGATCCTCACAGCATGGTGACAGCATGTGAAGATCCTCACAGCATGGTGACAGCATGCGAAGATCCTCACAGCATGGTGACAGGCATGTGGCATGGAGAGCAGAATGAACACTGCACGGAGCAGTGCATGAGCAGTGCATCTGCAGTGCATAGAGCAGTGTGCATAGAGACAAGATCTTTTTTATTGACTGAAAAAGAAGGACAAACCGGAGCAAGAGACAGAGAGGGCGTAGGTCATGGGCGGGGATGAGGGTGAGTAGATAGAGATGGCTGGCTGGCAGGGCTGCGGCAGGGCTGATCGACAACCGTAATGACATGATGATAATGCAACAGCCTTGAAGACTGCGAGTGAGAGAAAAGAGAGGGCAGATGCGGGGAAGTTGTACGAGTACATCAGATTAGATTGTTTTCCTCTGGTAAGATACGAGCTCCTACTTGGCTCCCCCAGCTTGTGCAACTTCGCCGAAGAATCCAGGCAGAGGCCACTTGCACTGGAAGTCGCAAGCTGGCTCCGTGTTGTGGAGGCAATAGTTGTGGTGGACGTGAAGAACCTGGAGCACAGCAGTCAGATGGCAGAGGGACGGGCTGGAGTGCATCAGATCTCACGTAATGCTCTCGGATGGCTGTGGCGCAGGACATCTGTTCCTCCTCAGTCTCCCCACAGGCTGTCAGGACCTCTTCCTTCCCGAAGCACTCGCAGATAGGCTGGAACTGCTTGAAGTCGGAGGGGAAGGAACCCGGCTTGCCCTGGAAAGGTCTGACGCAGTACTCGATCTGCTGCAAGCAAGAGGACACGATTGCTGTTCCATTTTCTCCACCACCACAAGCCTCGAAGATCTGAAGATGTCTCAGTCCAACTCATCACGTCAGTTGCGAAGTATGACCTGAGAATAGTGCTCGGATGCTCCACGGGGCTCGTTAGCCTTCTTGACAGCCTCCTGAACGAAGCCTGGCGGGAGCTGGGTGAAGAGGCTGGCCAAGCAGAAACTGCCGGCCCTGTTCGCTATATTAGCCCTCGATCCACACATGGAAGAGTCATTGCAGTGCATCTTACTTGGCATTCTTAGCTTTGGTGAGGCATTGCTCAAGGTTTGCAATCTTGTCGTCAGGGGCGTTGCCTGAGAGCCGAAGACCTTGTCAGCACAACTTCACGAGTCCTCGGAGATTTCATCACATGAGCAGGCACAGGAGACGCAGTTCATCGGGTCAGGCATGCACATGAAGCCTTGTGGGCAAGTATCTGCAAGTAGAAACATCAGAACCCAAACTCCTTACAGGCATCTATCTCTTACTTCCGTGCAGGGAAGGCTTGGGAAGAGGATCGCACTTCACGCCGGTGTAGCTGTTGGAGCATGTAGGGGGGCCCACAGTCTCTGCAACGCTAGAAGCCTGTATGAAAAGTATGAGAATCACCAACACGCATGTGACATCAAACTATGTTCACCTCCAAGAGGATGGTGGCAGGGAAAGAATGCATGAATTTAGCCAAGCACTTCTCAGCCAACCCTATCATGAAGAAAGAGATCAGATGCTGTCCTACATGTCCTGCACTTCTGCTCACCTACGGTAGAGGCCTCGTCGATGCACTTCTTGAGAACAGGGAGGTCGGCAACCTGCAGATGAGCCAGTAAGTAGTCGAAACTTTCACAACATCTGACCACGTGGACAACAACATGATATAACAACGGACACGAAAGAGCTTAACAACAGGCAAGTCAAAGCATTGAAGATACAAGAGAAATTCCAACAGACGACAGAAAAGACTTACCGCCTCCTTCTGTGCATGCGCCCAAGCAAGCTCGGTGAAGATTTCCACCTTGGTGATGTTGTCCCCATTTGAAGTCTCGTTCAAGATCGCGTTTCCTTCAATGAACTCCACAACTTGTGTGCATCCCTTGGTGGCGCACTCTTCGCATTCCGTCAACAGAGCGTCGGGAAGGCAGGCCGCGCTCATGGAGCCAAAGCTGCAGTCGTTGGCCTTGTAGGCGCTGCATTCAGCCAGGCAGCTCTGGCACATGTTGAAGTCTTGGTAGACCTCCTCTACAGGTACAACAGGGTCGTTGCAGCAGTTGGGGTTCTCAGCGAGCTGCTGGAAAGTGGCGACGTCAAGAAGAGCCTTGTGGTCAGGGCGCCTTGCTGGGTGTTTGGGAAGGAACACAGAGTTTGTGCCCATGGCTGGTGACCACCTCTTCTGTCTGAGAAGCGATGGCTGTGGAGAAAGTCTTCCTCTACCCATGAGGACGATTAGCGAGCAGGCTAGCAAGCCTACCGCCATGGTCCCCAACGCCCCACGAAGGTTCCCGATCGCCATCGTGTCTCTTCGCACTGAACCCCCCGACACCTACCGGTACCACATTCATACTCACCCCAATAGCTCCCATATATTTTCTCTGTATTGGTGGGTGGGTGATAGTACCTACCTAATATTTTGTATCCGACCACTCAGTGGACTCATACCGTAAGCATGCTCAATAACCCCTATTTCTGTATTGATTTAAGTGGGTGGGGGTGTATACCCTCACAATGGAAGGAATGGGAGGGTGGAGGGTAGGGGTGCTGAGTGAAATGCTCGAACCGACGCCATAGGATTGAAGGGAGGATGCAGGATGAAGGTGGTAGGAGGGAGGAGTAAGGGAGGGAGGAAGAAGGTTGAAGTAGAAGGAGGTAGACTGCAACAAGAAGTTTCAAACTTGATGATCTCAAAGAACATAACGTGAGAAGGAGGTTGGGAGTCAATGCTAAGCTCAGAGAGTAGGTGTGGGGATGTTGACGGTCATTGACAGGGCTGCCCCATCGAATCTTTCCTCACTCAGAAGATGGAGAACAGGTTTCCGTTGGGATGCCAACTCATCCTGGTGTGATGTACTACATGCAGGAAACTCAGCTTGTCTTTCCTGATCGGGCTATGCGCCACATGCTCCCTCCTGCTTCTCCTTGTCCGATCAGGGTACAAGAGCACGAGGCTGGTTGAAAGCGAAGTCTTTGAGGTGATGCAGCAAGAAGAGATTGCCAGTTCCTAACAAAGCTCTTCAGGCTCCTGCATACGAGATGATCCCGGTTGAGCCGGTGGCATTCAGAGGGCCTTCGATCTATCCTGGAAGCATGTTGTCGAATTGGAAAGTATGTGTCTTTCCTGCACCTCTGCTTCCTTCATGTCGTCCCGTTGGTCTCACAACTCTTGCAGTGCTCCAAATATTGTGGCGTAGGGTTCAGCATCTGTCTTTCCAAGCCCCAGACGCAGTCCGTCAATGATTGCGTAGCCACCAAGAACTCCTGCTCCAAGTATCAGTGCGCTGATATGGAGGCACTTCCACGAAAGATCGAATGTTTCGAGGCAGCAAAGGACAACTACGGTGAGATTTCATTTTGCTCGTGTTTCATACTTTCTCATTTGTTTCGTGATTGCCAGATCATTGTGTTAAGTACAGTGGGCACGACGACAGCTCACGCGCGCATTGCAAGTTCCTTTATGCAGATTATGCAGCTAAATGTTAAGTAATGAGCCTTTCAAAACAAGCTTCTCTTGGGCTAGACACGTATTGAGAAGATGAATGTTTCTGCGGATAATTTGTATATGTGACAGTAAGTCATGAGTATGCTCTAGTCCTTGAGTTAGTGTTCCACCACTCGCAGCTGATGGATCGACTTCTCCAGACTATCTAATGATAACAACGTCGCACGACGCCAAGCCCAGATGGAAATCAAGGCGTGGCAATAGCTAACTATCTGCTTCCCGCTCGCAAAAGGAAAACAAAGGTTTTAATGTATTAATGTAGAGTGAAACAGGCCTACTGCCGATGGTCTTGAAATGTGAATAACTAAGGAAAATTTTGAGAATGAGCGACACCATTTCCTCCTTGCCAGTCGTTGGTAGCGAAGTCAGTGAGAGGCTCTCCTGTCGAACCTTTCAGAAATCTTTTTCACGGAATAGCGATGAGGAACCTGAGTATGGCAAAAGATTTCCAACGCTGTGACTTGCAAGCTCGTCCTTCACCTTCAAACGAACTCAGCAAACAAGCAGAGCGCAAGATCCCTGACCTTATCATAATCCACCGACGAGTCAGTCACGAGGTTCCAGTTGTCCTCCACCTGCGAAGAAGTTGAGTGAACGCAGCAGAGGCACCAACAGCAACAACTTACAGGAACCTTGAACCTCTGGCGAATGGAAGAGGTGCCCTGGCCGGCGGTTCCAAAAACGATCTGTTCATTCTTTGGGTCGGTCTCCTTCATATGTGAGAAGCTATTCTCGTGCTTCTTCGCATAGCTTGGATTGGTCTGCTCCTGGTACTCCTCCGAAGGAACAAAATCATCTCCTTTCAGGTCTTTGTTCACAAACGAAAGCTCCCAACTAACGAAACTTACTCAGCAATCACCAAAACCCTGAAACGAATCTTACGGGATTTCGTCATGATTGAAGTACTTTCCCTTCACTCTCTTGTCTTTGGGATCCTAACCAAAATCAGGAATCAATGACAAAGACTGTCCTTGTACCTCCAGTCCAGTTCGAGCATCTTGCCCTTCACCCCAAACAAGCCGTTTGTTCGCATCGGAATCCGGGTCCCAATCGGCAAACTGATGCTGCCATCTAGACAAACGTCACCAATGTCACAAGCTCCGAGTCCAATTCTTTACCCCCATTGCGGATCCTTGACATCTTTCCAGGTTTGATGACTGCCATGAGTCATTTTTCCCTCTTTCAAAAGCTACAAAACCAAAGTGTTCAGAGGGAAGCAAATAGCTTTTCTAAGGATCAACCTTTCCAGTGTCAGTGCTGAACGAATGCACCTTCTTATCTAGTTCTCCAAGATCGCCACTGCGATACTCTGAAGGATTTTCCAGGTGCTTTGCCTCCGGCGAGTACTTGTCCCAATGCTGTCCAGCGGAATAATACCATGGATCCTGGGCGATTCAAAGTGAACATCCTAGATAACAAGGGCGACAACTTGATACCAACTCCTCGGGATTTTCAATTGTCAAGCCCACGGGATCGTTCCAGGGATGAAACTCGGCCACCTGAAACAGAAGCATTAATGCCTATTGGCTCCTTTTCTATTGAACGACCTTGCCATCCTTGAAGACGGTACGATTCTCAAACTCGTCCTTGCCAAACATTTCTGGAGCAAAGAGATTGGCCTCCTGATTAGTTCCGTGAGAGACATACTCAAATCGGCAGAGAAATGACCGTCATGTCTCCAACTTTGCGATCCAAGGGCTCGAGTTTGTAGGTATCTGGATGCACTGCGGCCTGTACATAGGTCAGCAATCTCTTTCAAATATTCAAGAATGGTTCGACACCGAGACATTGGAGAATCTGTTCAAGTTCTCGTTATGGTTCGCCATGGTGTCAGGCAACCTTTTCAGTCCGGTAAACTTGCTGAGCTCCCTGCAACACTATGCAATGAGCACGAGAAAGCATCAAAAGGGGAGCATGACCTGTCAATGAGTGACTTAAGAAACTGCTTTTGCTGGGCATTGAATCCGGAAGATCGCTTCGATTTCGGTGTCTGTGCAGTGGAGGTTTTTCTCTTGTCTGCAAAGACATCTTGAATGACGTTGTCGATGGCAGCCGTCATCTGCTTCATCTTGGGATTCTTGGCTGCCTTCTTAGCAAGCTTCTCGTGCCCTCGTGCATTCTTCGAAACACGACCTGAGCATTCAATCATCAATCACAACCTCTCAACGATATCGCAACACACCGCATCCAGCCGCTATGGCAGCTCCGGTTTGCTCGCAACCATTACAGCAAGGGCACATCCAGCAGCTGTTCCGGCAATGATGTAAGTCTCATGATTTCCATTCAATGACTCGCAACAACCTCTTTACATCCTTGATGGTCTCCACCAATTCCACTCTCCTGTTCTGCAACATGCAGTCAGATATCTAACATTTTTCAGGATGCTGCCCGCTCTTCCCCTCCTTCCCATCGTACTTCTCATCATTGATGATCCATATCCTCTCCTTCGTACCTGCTGCAAGACGACCACTACCAGAGCTGCTGCTGCCGCAGCTGCTAGGAGGACATGGACGGTTGATCTCCTTCTCCCCCATCCTCGCTCCCCGAGCAGTGCCGCTCGCTCCATCGCGACTCTTCGGGCCTGGCCCACATCCCACCTCAATCATCATGTAACCGAAACCAACGTTCTGTCACTGTTGTAACTGCCATTTCATATACCCCCACCCGATTCAACACCCACCCATAGAACAAGCAAACCTACCCCTCCACTCGAGGGAACCTAAGTACCCCTGTTTGTATATGACCATACCCCTAGTATCCTGATGAAATTTCCACCCTGTCCTTGCAAACAATATACCACCCACCCCCCACTTTGGGACCCTACCCTCAATACCGCACCACCTCGCCTTGCCCACTTCATTTCCCTCCAAATTTCGCAATGTCGATGTTCTTCGATGATCGGAAGAAGGTATGAGAGGAGGGAGGATGGGAGAGAACGTTCAGGAGCACAGGACAGCAATGGAAAGATCGGGTGTCACTAGGAGGAGACGAGACCTGGATGACGAGAGTAGAAAATGAGACAGGAGAACTGGTACAAGTCAAGGTGAGAAAGCTGCAGGGAGGATGGAACGGAAGGAGAAGAAGTGAAGCAGGCGAGTCTCAGGGGAGAACATCGACACCATGAATATTCTATGTCAATCGTCCTAGATGTTGCTTTCACATGATTCAAAATTCTCTTCAGGTGAGTCTGGGCGGGAAAAGCAGAAATAAGACCCAGGAAACGAAAAATGATTTTGTGGAAAGAACGAGGAAAGAACGTGAAGCCAGGGAGTCAGCACGCAAGAGGGAGAATGCTGCCATTGCCCTTCAGGTAATTCTCAAACTCCTTCTGAAACATCCCGTTACTAACCATCCCTTCAGTCATTTTTCCGAGGCAGAAAAGTTGTATGGCGGTGTAGGATGGTGGAGAGGGCGGAGTGGAATGAAGAATTCAAGCAATTTGCTGTGCAATACTCGGAAGCAATGTCTGTATCAAGTGAACTGCAGTCGAGCATGGTCAAACTTTTGCGGCGGCTCATATTTTTCTTCAACTCAGAGAATGTGGAGGTTGGTTTGCTTTGTTGTCTCATCATCTGATCATTTGAAAGGATGATAAATCATTGACCCAACTTCTGCTCTGGTTGATAACAGGAAAGTATGGATCGATCAGGTATTGACATGTTGATTTCAATGTCATGTATCGGATAGTAAGCCGCTTCAAACAGCAATACGCACGGAGTTGAATCGATGACTTTGTTAAAAGACCCTGAGGCTTCACAGCGCAATCATAGGGTCTTCAAGCTATCTCGTCTGAGCTACAAGAGGTTGGAAAAGTCGATGCAATTGCCTCCATGTGACAACCAAGCGCTGGACGTTTCTTTCTTAATGTCTCTTTGCGACAAACACCAATTGTGGGGTAACGAATATTCGGGCGCTGGTTTGAGCCTGTTTCTCATGAGGAATGGGCTTATGACATTGATCGGACAGTACTTGATGCGTACTAATTCTGGAGCAGACCAAAATTCGTTGAGCACGCTGCAGGTCCTGCTGTGTAATCTTTGTAGACGCATGTTGGTTCACGGCCAATCTGAGAAGTACATGGTCTACTCTGAGTTCTGCCGACACATTCTCACTATTCAAGAATTATTCAAGCCAGGTACGATCGCCGCTAAAGCCCGGGCAAGCCTGCTCTTCCAAGGAATGTGGGATAATGTACTGGACACATTGGCGGCGAATGAATTTGCGTTATGTAGAGAGTTTTGTGATCATCACGAACTGGAGCGATCAGCATACTTCTTGGGAAATCTTGTTGAGTTATCTGATCTTTCAATCGTCAGCGGTTCGGCTCACTCGACTGCTGTATTTGCTGAGTGTGCCAGTATGCTGCTCTCCCATGTCAAGCACTTGCAGAGCCTTCGAGGTCAATCTGACGAAGATATGTACGATGTTAATGACGAAAGTGTTGATATGGAAACGATGGAAGTTGAGGTTCAAACTGCAGCCGGGATTGCAACTGTAAAGCAGATAAGAGTGAAGGAGAAGAAGCGAAATGTTGAGATGGAGATTTCTCCTGCTTTGGCAGCCATTCAGAGGCATGTCCAAGGATTGTGCAATAAGGATTATCTTTACAAATTGTTGGACGTCATTCAGAATAGCAAAGATGCGAATTATGCTGTATCAGCAACCTGCGCATTGCTTGTACAACTGGTCGATTTCGTACCAACCTCACAAAAAGACGTCATGAATGCTCTTGCATTCAAACCTTCTGTGCTTGTAATGCTTTGGAATCGAATCAGAACCTTCACTGAAAATGACCAAAAATCGATCTCAACACACGAACGAGTCTCCAGACTACAGTATTTTAGCTTGCTTTCAATGTTTTGTATGGTGTATCATTACTTCTTGGTAACCGTGGACAACGAAGAATTTTATGTGAGACAATATCCATTTCGGCTGGATGAATTGAGAGAGATGGTTACAAAGATCAAGATCACCTTGTATGATCTGTACTGGAAAGAAGCAGATTCAGAAACGGCTCTGAAACTTCGAGATGCTGGTTCTAAGCTTCTCTCCCGACTTTTTGAACGGAATTGCTACAAGCAGTATGCATCACCAGAATTGTGGCTGGCTACAGACCGCAATATTTCTTTCATCATCTCCGACTTGGACGCCATAAGCGCTGCTCGGATGATGGATCCTGATCATGTAGATATTTCTTTCGAGGCCAAGCATGGAGCTCTCTTGCAAGAAACACCTTTTGCTCTACCATTCCACTTGCGAGTTCGCATTTTACGATACTTGATTTCGTTGGACCGTCAAGATTATATCGACGCGCCGGCTAGTTGGCACAATGCGCAGATTCGTCGCTCTCATGTTGTTGAAGATGGATACGACAAACTGAACAACCTTGGGCATAATTTGAAGCGAACTGTTCAGATATCTTTCGTCAATCAAGAGGGGCTGCAAGAAGCAGGGATCGACGGAGGAGGGCTCTTCAAGGAATTCGTCAACACGATTTCGTTGCAGGCATTCAACCCTTCTTATGGCCTTTTCTGCACCACAGGACAAAACCTATTGTTCCCAAACCCTCAATCTTTCAATGTAAATCCATGGGCTGGGTCGGTAGATGATTTGAGTTTGTTTGAATTCTTTGGGAGGATTGTCGGGAAGGTATGACATTTTTTTCCGTTGGTGTTGATGATTGAAGTCTTTTCCATTCACAAAATAGGCAATTTATGATGGAATTCTGATTGAGCTCCGGCTAGCTCCTTTCTTTCTACGAAAGATGTTGGGCAAGGAGATGTTTTTTGATGATTTGGTCAGTTTGGTGTACTCCTTGACTCCCACGATTGCTGATTGTTTGCTTCCTTTCGTCGCAGGAATCCCTCGACCCTGAACTGCACAAGAATCTTTTACATCTCAAGAACTACGATGGAGACTTTGAGATGTTAAGTCTGAACTTTGAAGTCGTTGAGGTGAACAATGGCTAGACTTCATGCAATTCGATTCCTCACTCTCCCACTTATTTTTAGGATCATTTTGGACAAGCGCGGACAACTGAGCTAGTTGAAGGTGGAAGGTGGGGGGAAGAAATCTCAAATCAGCAGCTGAGAGGTGTACCAGGGATATCGCGGTCACTGCCGACAACGTTCTTCAGTACAAGAACCTGATGCTCGACTACTGGTTGAACAAGCGAATTGCTCGCCAGAGTCTGGTACTGTGGCGAGAGAGACGTTGGAGCCAAGCTGAGTGCTTTCAGGCATTTATGAAGGGGATTTCCGACTTGATAAGACCGAAATGGATTAGAATGTTTAGTCCAGGTGGGCTAGCAGTTGAAAGAAGCCTCAGGATTGCTGACACTTTCTCAGATGAGCTTCAGATGTTGATCTCTGGATCCGTCAGCCCGGTCGATCTAGAGGTAGCGGAGCCTCCACCTCGCTTGCCGGAGTTTGAATTTTCTCGTCAGGACCTTCGTGCAAATTGTGTTTACGGAGGAGGATACAATGCAGAGCATGAATCGATAAAGGTGAGCATGGCTACTGAAATATGTTGCGTCAGCTGAGATGAAACCTACAAAACCTTGAATGACCTCTTTTGTTTCTTTCCTCTGAGCCTTCTAGCAGATATTTTGGGATGTTTTGAGCACTTTCGACTCGAAGCAGGTTTGAGATATGAGAAGTCCTTTGTTCGCTGATGTTGTCCTGTTGGTCAGAGGGAAGACCTCCTCATGTTCGTCACGAGCTGCTCTCGTCCACCTCTCCTTGGCTTCAAGGAGGTTTCACTCCATCGCATGCTGACTTGAAACCCTCAGCTGACCCTCAACCCAGCTCCATCCCAGCTTCTGCATCCAGAAGACCTCTCATTCTGCCGAGGAGGCTAACTCAAGGTGATTGGCCTGCTTTCTCATCGCATCCAGTGACGCATACAGATTGCCCACGGCCAGCACGTGCATGAACCTCCTCAAGCTGCCGGCCTATTCCGACCCCAAGGCAAGGACCACGGGCGGGGGGACTTGAGGTGGAGGAGACAAGGGAGGAAGGGAGGGAGTGAAAGCGGAGAGAGGGAGGTAAAGACTTTGAGAGTGACGAGTCGCTTGCAGGCCTGCAGGGAGCGGCTCCTGTACGCCATCAGCGCAGGCGCAGGGTTTGAATTGTCGTAAGGCGCCTTTGACGAGAAGGAGAGACGTGTACATAGCAGTTACTGTGATCTAGCTTGTTTGGGGAGGAAGGGAAAGGCGTTTTACACCCAGTTTACTTTGAAAACCAAAGAAACAGCAGGAAGAAAGTGATGTTCTCCACCGGCCATCCCTTCATTCATTGATACCTTGACTTATTCATTCTCCTCCGGGTCAAAATCTTCAACCTTGAGAAGTCTATCAGCAGGGGAAGACAGAGGACAGCAAACTAACATCTTCTTCCTCATGCCCTTGGCTTTGCAACTTGGATTTCCCGGCGAAGTACAGCTCAGGGTCGCTCTGCCCGATATGCATAAGGTACTCAACACACAGTCCCCTCCCAGCACTGACCAGGATCAAGTCCAGCTCCTGCTTCAGTTTCTTCTTCTCGTGCTCCTTTGGTACATCTCGACGTCAACCTCTTCCTCATGTCATCCCCCACAACAACTTACCGCCTCCTGATGAGCCTTCGTCGAGTTCACCAGCTTCGCTTCCAGCTCTGCTTTCTCCTTCTCCAACTTCGCAATCTGCAAAAATACATGAGCAGATGTTGAGACCGTTAACGATAGAGCGCAGACCTGATCTTCACTGCGTGCAAGACGATTCTCGCACTGATCCAATCTTGCCTATTCATACATCAGTCACGTTGAGGAACGGGAGAGGAACTGAAAGCAGCAAAGTAACCTTTAATTGTTGTGTTGATTCCTCGCTGCCGCTGATAGCATTGTCTGACTGACTTCGCCTAGTAGAGTATGAGCTGTCAATCGTGAGAGCTTGAAGGCTGCTGGCATACCCTGAATTCGTCCTATTCAACTTCTTCATCTTCAGACTTCTGATGGCGTCTTGCATCTCGCCAAGAACAGAGCTTGCATCTTTAGACAGTTGTGAGAATTCCCTGCACCTGAGCGACAACCTTTGCATGGCAGATTCCTTCCACTGACAGTCAGCCGAGGGGCGTGAAGGAAGGAAAAAGGATTCTCAACAAGCTGAACAAGAGACTATACCTGCTCTGCAACAGTGTGCTTCAAGTGTTCGATCTCATCCTGAAGTATAGAGATGTTGCCGTCCTTCACTCCCCTTTTGTCATTTACATTCAGTTGCACGTTCCCCAGGTTGGTACACAGCACATGGGAAGGGAACCATCCCTTCTCGCCGCTTCGCGCCGCCACTCCCTCCCACCATCCCGTCTTGTGCTTTCGAACCACCTCCACGATGTCACCCGGAAAGAGCGTCAGCTCGTGCGGCATCTTGGCCTCGTGTTGCAGCTTGACAGAGTAAATCCCTTTGCTATGCCTGACCTCTGCAGGGGCCGGGGAGGCCGAGGGAACAGCTTCCTCTACCTTTGCTGTTGTGATCTTCACGTTGACGTCAAGGAGCTGCTGAGGAGCTACAGAAGACTTCGGGCTTGGAGCGGCAGACAGGGGAGTATAACCAGTCGGCTGGCGGACTATGTCGCAATCAAACTCTCTGCCTTCTCTGCTTATCCTAAACCTGACGCTCGTCCCGATCTGACCAATGATGAGCGGCCTCACTTGCTCCAGCGGTTTCCCGTACTTCACCCCGACATACACTGAGTCGACGCTCCTGATCACATCGCGAACAGAAACCTGGCCCGAACGATGCGCAGCTCCTCCTGGGACCACTTCCTCCACCTGCAAAGCAGTGAGGCATTGAAGGAGCGTTGGAGAGGACAGACCTCGATCACTCCTGAGACCTCCCTGAGGACAAGTCCAACTCCACATTGAGGCGATGCCATCTGTGCGAAGCGAGACAACTCCCTCCGTCCCTCGATATTGTTTTCTCCTTCCCTTCTACTCACACTCTCCCCTCCACTCTCAAGCTGACTCCCTTCTCCCCACCCTTTGCTCTGCTCTGCTCTGCTCTGCTCTGCTCTGCTCTGCTCTGCTCTGCTCTGCTCTGCTCTGCTCTGCTCTGCTCTCGTCACTGCGATCGGATATTGACTGAAATCAAGGGAACACTTCAGTACCGGGCAGATTTCAAATGGAATATTCAAATTTTAGTAGGACAACGTCCAGCTCGATTCATCGTCACCAGCACAGTGGTCCCTGACGATCTCCGAGACTGACGGTGAAGATACTGATAGAGGACACGCACGTGGAGGTAAGGGGTGGGGAAAGGGGGGCGACACAAGTTTACTTGAGTACATCCTCCATCAGCTTGTTCAAGCTCTCGTAGATCTTGAAGATCTTGTCCCTGTTGAGGTAGATCCCTCCGATCACACCCGAGAGGACCACGACATCCGCAGCCCTGGTCACAGCAGCCTGCCGAGATGTATCAATGCTCCCGAACAACTTCACCGCCCGACGCAAGAAGATCAAATGGACCGGGATCTTTATCTTCTCTCCGGTAGGCAAAGGATCGTCTTCGCTAGCCCACGGTGCCTTCATCGACCCCTCGTCCTTGCACGCTTCAGGTCAATCTAAACCTCATGCCACAGTCAACAACATTCTTCTGAGTGATCTCGTCGATCTGCTTTTTCCTCTCTGCCATCCTCGCCGGGTCCTGAACCACGGTCAACACAGAAAAGACAAGTTTCGGTCCTGCCTTTGTTCTTGATTCCAGCTTCTGGAACAGCTCACTCTTGGAAAGAGCCTTCATCTCCGCCTACAGCGCGTCAAGTGAGAGGAAGCAGGATCAAGCTCTGTCACTGACAGCCTCCAGCATCCTCAGGCGCTCGTTCGCAGCTTGGGCCTTCTGCTTCACGTCTCCTTTGGCGAGACCTTCAATGGTGCTGATCGACTTCTCCGCAACCTGGAATGGCCAACAATCGGAGCAAGCAACCCAACGCACAAGCTCTCAAGCTCTCGCTTACATCCTGCACTGGGATCTTGGCTGGGGCACCACACTCCACACTGTTTGAGCGATAATCTGTCTCGCCGCACCCTCCTTCCAATCTAGAGCCCACATGTCAGAGAATCTGAATGATTCTCCTCTCCGTAAGGAATCAAAGATCACTTTGGTTGTTCACGGACGGTGACGCGATCGACAGGAATAGTTGGGTTGAAGTCAAAGGAGACCACCTTCAGACTAGGTCACAGAAGGACTGACATGTCTAACAAAACACGATGGAGACAACAAGAGGAGAAGGAAGAACAATGAAGCGAAGGAAAACCAAGAAGCGAACAACACAATGATTTGAGCTGCAATATCAGAACAGTCTATCTCTCATGCCTCATTGAGATTGTTCTCTCTCTTGATCTGCTTCTCTCGTCTCTTGTCCGAATCAGCTGCACTGAGCTTCTGATCACATGCACGATTTCAGTCAGCAGGCTGATCAATCACGAAGCAGTCGTCTTTGTGCCGTACCGTGTCTGTTGGTTTCTCCCACTGCGTTTGTTTAGTATCCACGTTGTAGTAGTAAACCTTCCCATCTGTTCACAGGCGTCAGGTAGCGCAGTCAGCTTCACTGAGTCTTCACCACTGGTGGATGCTGTGGCCCATCCGTTGGGCAAGGTGGTGTCGACTGAGATGAGGTACTGGGCAGCGTAGGACGGGGCAGTGAAAGCATCGGCCGTTGCAGGCAGCACAAACGTAGTGGCACCAAGGAAACCTGCTATGACCCTCCTCCCACAATCTTGAAACAATGACATCCTGGTCTGACTGGCCATGCTCTGACGAGCTTGCGGAGCAGAAGCCGCGAGACATTTGGAATGATAGATCTGAGCTGGGTTCTGAGCTGAAAGGAGCGAAGGAGCGAACGCATCTGCCATGGCGGCTCCCACCAAGAGCGCAAAGATCCGCATGGCCCCTCTGTTTATGTGACACCCCTGGCCCACATCCCCCTATTGGCAGATCGGGCCCGGAACCAGGCCCGGAACGCTGCCCGGAACGGCAGAGAAGCACTGACCTAACATGTCTATCGAGCAAATGTTTCCATCTGCCGCAGTGAAAAATCATCACTTCGTGGAATCTTGTCGTCATGATATTGATTTTGGATTTGGATGTCGGATATCTGAGAACGGTCCCTCCTTCCTCATAAGCAGTGAAGAAAATGTCAAAGAAAGGGGCAACACGAACAAATGAGCTCAGATGATTGTTCGAAAGGTGAATGATAATAAAGACTGATGCTTCACATCTTGATTGAGAGTGTTTGTTTAACGTGTTCATTTTTCATGTGACAGTGTTGGATTCTAATAAGCACATTGATTGAGCGATTCTTACTCAACAATTCTCGGCCCCTGTAACTGCAGGAGGCAGCACGTGTGGTCCTGCTGCTCAGTCATCGCCGCACCTGCTCTCCCTCTCACTCGCATCGGAGGTTTCGGAACTGCACGTATCGTTTGTGCCCGTCGAGGGTCTTGAGCTTGTGAAACTCGTCCAGGATCAGCTGTAGCTCGCAGATGTGCCCTTCGACCCCCCTCTTCCTCGTCTCGTCGCTCACCACCCGCAGGTTGATCGCAATGTCTCTGTACCCTCCCGATACCTTGCTGTCGAAGTCTGGATCCAGCCTGTTCTTCGTCCGCATCACCTCGATCTCCGGGTCTCTGGCGATCTTGTCCAGGCAGTCGCAGAGTTGGTCGAGGTCCCTGAAGACGATGCTCTGCCGCACCACGTCCGTGAGCTTGTAGACGCAGTAGTTGTACGACCGCACGAGCTTCTCGATCGATCTGGTGGCGTTCTTGATCTTGGCCCAGCTGACTGAGCCCTCCAGCCTCGGGTCTGCGATCGCGTCTCGCCAGCGCACGTACTGCGGCTCGTCGGCCTCAGACTGCGCCAAGAAGAAGCCGTCGGAGGCCTCGGCCAGGGCCTTGACCTTGGAGAGGAAGATGGGGTCGATGACGAGGGCCTGGGCGTACAGCTGGTCGAGAGACACGATGCGCATGTACTCCATTCCTCCGAACCTCGACGGCAAGAAGCTCCAGGCGCCAGGGTCTCGGTAGCAGGTGATGAGGGGGTCGAAGATGCCTAGGTCTTTGCGTAGAGGCATGAGATCTCTGCGAGACTTCTGCTCTACTTTGCGGGAAGAGACCTCAGGGTGACACAGCCTTTTGATCCTGGCGAGCTGTTCTCTGCAGCTCTCCAGCGAGACGTACCGGCTCCAGCACGCGTCGTACTTGAGTCGGTCGGGCTCGACTTGCTGCACGGCCTTGCGGTACAGGTAGTCCCTCTTCAGACGAAAGTAGAGCCAGATTGCGCCCAGGACGTAGGATGTGAATGGAATGTAAGATATATCGAAGGGAGTTTGAAACCAAGAGGACGATATACAGACGTTGAAGATGGTTGTGTAGATAACATAGAGAGGAAGTACGTGCAGCGAGTATTGCTCTTTGAATTGCAGCGTCATCCCGTAACTCAAATCGGCTATTCCCCAAACAAGATTCAGATTCCCCAGGATACTCTGAGAAGATAAAGGTAATGCGACCACGAGCTCCGCAAATCCCACAATATGGAACGGTGAAGCGATGCAGAACTTGACAATCTTTGACTTTCGCAGAACGGCAAACACCCCCCCAAGAAAACAAAAACCCGCCTGGAATGTGAAGATTACAAAGATCATGTTTTCCGTCCATGGTTCTCGCAAGTCAAAGGAGATGGTGCGCCCGTCTTGCATTCCTGCAGGGGAGTGGCAGAAGGAGATTGCTGCATGGTCGGCACAAGAGAAGGAGTACACCATACTCCAGTCCTGGTCGGCGATGTGCTGCAAGTCTGAGCCCTCATTGAGGCGATACAAAGAGAAGTTGTAGGGATTGAAGGGAAGCACAGAGAGAGTCGCGCTCAGGTCAAGCTGCCACCCGTTGCCTCTCGTCACCTTGTCGTACGTGTAAAACACTGATGAGTTTGACACCGAGACAGCAGAAGGATAGAACCGCCGACACGAGTCTTTAGTCATCGCAAACGACCGATGCAAAAGGGAGCGCGATGGCGAAGATAAAGCAATCGAAGGATCAGCATTGACGTCTAGACGATACTGCCGGGCACCGATTTCTCCATTTGCCAGTATGGAATATGTTCTCACCCACGAGCCACTCGCGATCGAGAATGCAAATGCACCTGAGACCATGAAAAGGATCAGCTGAAAGAAGGGTTTGTAAGAAGCGCTTCTGATTGGCGTCGACGAGTACATGATGGTAGACGTGGCGACATCCACAACACCATGCGAGCTGCTGAAGAGATAATCATCCAGAATGTTCCCTGGGTAGAGCCCCTTGAAGATTGCCACAGCATCTTCTGACTTGCTTGCAGATACCTGACATAGCAAGAGCGAAGAGCAGACCTCTGAAGGAGAGACGGCAGCTTCCATCGGAACGGTCGGAAACATCCAGCGCCATATCCGCGTCGCCAACGGAGCATCGATATATTTTCTCGGTAGCTTCGAAGTCCCCTTACGGAAACGGAGAACATGCTTCACTCGCTGATACTTGTCAAACATCTCTCTCCTGGCCTTGCGGTGCAGCGGAAACAAAGCCAACCGCAGCTCGCAGATGTGCCCCTCGACCCCCCTCTTCCTCGTCTCGTCGCTCACCACCCGCAGGTTGATCGCAATGTCTCTGTACCCTCCCGATACCTTGCTGTCGAAGTCTGGATCCAGCCTGTTCTTCGTCCGCATCACTTCGATCTCCGGGTCTCTGGCGATCTTGTCCAGGCAGTCGCAGAGTTGGTCGAGGTCCCTGAAGACGATGCTCTGCCGCACCACGTCCGTGAGGCGAGAGACCTCAGAGTCACAGAGCAGCAAGACTTTCTCGATCGATCTGGTGGCGTTCTTGATCTTGGCCCAGCTGACTGAGCCCTCCAGCCTCGGGTCTGCGATCGCGTCTCGCCAGCGCACGTACTGCGGCTCGTCGGCCTCAGACTGCGCCAAGAAGAAGCCGTCGGAGGCCTCGGCCAGGGCCTTGACCTTGGAGAGGAAGATGGGGTCGATGACGAGGGCCTGGGCGTACAGCTGGTCTAGGCTGCTCCTCATGCGGTTCTCGACCTCAATCTCCTTGTCTATCTCAGATTCACCAGGAGTAGGGCTGGAGTCGGAGCTAGGCAAGATGAAAGTAGGACCATAGGGCCCCCATCCTCGTACTATGCGTAGAGCCTCCGTCAGCCGAAACATCGACTGGCTGCCTTTCACCTCTTCCCATTCCTTCTCGAAGACTGACGAGCTGTGCATGGCTTCGCTCAAGGTCCTCGATCTCGTGAGCTCCCGGTGGACCATGAAAAGAGCAGTCGCCGCCATCATGCAGATGCTCTCGTACCTCACTCGTCCTCCTCCCAAGGCAGAGCCCAACATCGCGAGGTGGGCCAAGAAGACCTGTTCTATCACGTAAAGCTCGTTGAAGAGCAAAGGAACGGGAAACAAGAAGAGATCCTGACCATGAGCAGGTGTCAACACCGCAGCTACATGTACAACAGAAGATCAACCGTGATCGCGTAGACAATAAACTCATGTCGTGATCCCCCGATCGCAGTTTCCTTGTAACCCTCGGACACCATTTGGAAGAAGATGATCAAGTTCAGCAGCCCGTCGAGCAAGCCAACGAAGATCAGGACCTGTGCGCATGCGTCACCTGAGAGTATCAGGGCCCGACCGAGTGTGGCACCTGTTTTGTTCGATGAAATCTGCTCCAGCTCGCAAGGAAGCCAGAGACCATGACTGCAATTGCAGCGATGTATCTAGTGGCCAGTTGCAGGGACAATTCCCATGAGCAAGCGACATGGCTGTTTTGAAGATAGTCCTGTAGCAGAAACTCTGATGGCCCTCCTTTGGTAGGGATCAGAGAGAAGTAGCCGGAGGATTCAATGCCGTGAAGAGTAATCGACTCGAGGATGATCCACAGTACACCAACTACGATGAGGATGATCTGCACGGGACGCAAAGTGAGCAAGGCAGACAGGGGCTCGTGAGAAAATAGAATCAGCCATGGGTTGATCCTGTACACTCGTCTCTCTGCAGTGTTTCTTTGAAGAAAGTCCCCGCTTGTATGCATGTAAAGGTTGGAGAACCCAGGCTTGAAATCCGTCCTTGCAGGAGTTTGAATGAAGTCGGGGTCGGCCTGCTGACCTTCAACTTCGATCTCAATGCTGTGACCCGCGTCTCTTACAGCCATGTTGAGTGCTTAGTTGCTGCAGCCTCCTCCTCCTCCTCCGCAGCCTCCTCCTCCGCAGCCTCCTCCTCCGCAGCCTCCTCCTCGGCAGCCTCTTCCTCGGCAACCTCCTCCTCCGCAGCCTCCTCCTCCGCAGCCTCCTCCGCAGCCTCCTCCTCGTTTCAGGAGGGGTTCACTGATCTGTATGAGTTGGCCCAGAGCTTTCATTCCGATACAATTCTCTAGAGTTTTTTTATGTATATGAGATTTTTTTTGTTTTTGTTTTTTGAATCTATATTGGATTTGCGCTATGATCTTTTAAATGACCTTTATATGGAGCGGTCATTCGCCTCTCCTGATTGTCCTCGTACTGATCTTTAACTTAACTTTGCCAGTTGAGTAATGAGAAGTGATCGGCTGCCCCCGGCCCGGCGCGGCGAGTTGACGCCGCCGGCGGCCCCGGGGCCCGACTAACTGTTACCCAAATTTTTAACTGTAGTAAGGGGGTAGGGGTAGGTGCAGCGAAGCGCACGTGAACACGGAAATCGAATGTGCAGGGAGTGACCGAGGTTAGGACGAGGGGAAATGAACAGACGAGCAACAAGATGGTCATTCAATGCAAATTCCATAATAGATAAAAGGGCATGAAGAGGCGAGAGAGTTCTTCTTCTTGTTTGATTTTTGGTCCATGATGATCAAGGATTTACAGAATAGTTTTGTGTGACGAACACACACGAGTCTTTTCGCAGGAAGACTGTGAGGCTCATACTGTGAGATGTAATTCCATGTATGACCTCCTTTGAATATGGTGTAAATCCACTACTTTTGAGTGATACAATTTGCAACTATCTTTACGCTTTGAGGGACTTGCAACTTGACTTTATATCCCACAGAGTGCGTGAACATCCTGCAAAGAAGACTGAAGTAAGCATGAGGGATAGAGGCGGGAGTATAAAGAAACTTGGTAGAACTGGCAGGTATTCGTGACAGACTAGTGTGCTTGTGTTATATTGAACCAAGATCGCAGGGAAGTTCCAAGTGACGAAAAGTTGTCTGGGGTATCATTGGGCACCCCGGAAGTTCAGATTCAACCAGGCGGAACAGTTTTTGCAAAATCCAGATTGAGTTATCCCAATGATAAAGATGAAAGTGAAAGTGCTACAAGACCTGCACAAGTGAAGGGAATGCCTGTGTCTGGTCGTCAATGGAAGTTGGATTGCAAACGTTCAAGTTCGATGCGGGTTGCGAACAAGTTGATACGTAAGTTGAATTATGCTTATGTTGATATGAGTCAAGAGCATTGGCTCACCATGATCTTAAACAGGGAAAAGCTGGGATGAAAAGATGAAAGAAAGAGCACGAGATAAACAAATCAAAGCGAAGCAGGACGCTTTGGTACAGGTTCGCTTGAGAAGTTGTTTATTCAAAACTTGTGTTGACAAGCTGCTTTCTAGGCGAGAATAGATGAGAAGCGAGAGAAGAAACGGCTGGCTGAAGAGCGACAGAAGAGAAAGGAGGAAAACAGATTGAAGGGAGCTGTGGTCCAGGTATTTGGCTTGAGATGATGTTTGTTTCATTTTCTCGGTCTTGACTAGAATTGCAGTCTATCAGCACAATGAAGGTAAAGAAGATGTCAAGAAAGCAGTTGAGAATGATCAGAAAGATGGACACAAGCAACGAGGGTAAAGTATTTGATCTCAAACCCATCGAAAAGACGAAAGGTCTCAAAGGGAAAGTGAAGATCTGATGGAGAGAGCCATTGGCTGGAGTTTCGAACTGTGTTGCATTAGTTGAAGTTCATTCACAAGAGCATAAAGTCAGGGTCTTCAAAACCTTGTGTGTGAATGTGCGTTTCAGTTTGCCACTTCAATATTATCAACACTATCTTGTAATGCCACTCGCTGGATACCATCAGCGGCACCCGGTGACCGTCGTGTCACCGGCCGCTAAGTCACTGTCACAGTGTGACGCGGCCCGGCCGCCTCCGAGTCAGCCTCGGAGCATGCCAATGAGTGCCGGGCCCCGGCCCGCGGGTCTTCTTCAGAGCCTTTCTGGGATCCTTTTGGCGCCAATGGGCTCCTCGAGCACGAGGAGGTAGAGGGGCAGGAGCACAAAAGCAGGAGGCGGAGTCAAAGACATCCACAACATAATGTCTGCATGCTCAGATCCGCACAAAGAGATCGCAACGTCGATGCTGCTCGCTTGAGCTCGGTTGTTCAGGACGTAAAGAATGTCAGCCAAGAAGAGTAAGTTTTCACCATTGCCTTTCATTTCTGGTGCTGTTGTACGGGCACATGTTGGGTCTAATCCTGGGAGGAAATCGTCTTCAGCAGAGAATGCAGAGTATGTCTGTTGATGTTGTTCTGCATGAATCTCAATTTTTGCATTGTGCAGGTCAAGTTCGACGGGGCGAGGAACTCAAATGAAGATCACTGATGCATTCATGACACCAAAGACAGTCTTGAAATCAAAACCATTGCAGGTTGAGAAGAAAGAATCAAGGCCTGTTGAAAGAGACTCAGCTGCCGATTGCATGTGCATTGATGACGATATTCCAGCCAGCAAGTCACCACCATGCACAATTCAGAAGAACGTTCACCTAAAGAGCGAGTTATCTGCCAAGTTATTTGTAACACCACAACACAGCAAGGCAAGGCACGAGGGCTCGGAAGTCTCCAAGACAAGAATGGGGGTGTGCCTTGCCAAGGATCCCATAATGGATTTGACCCTCTGTGAACCCGAATCCAGTCATTCCACAGCCTCATCAGAATTGAAACGTCCAAAAGAGATTGGAACCTTTGTGTCCGACAACAAGAAAAGATGTACTGATGAGTCTCTGGATAATGTTCCAGATTTTGATTTCACTCTACCTTGTTCGCCTCCTCGCCAGTTCCGTAATGCTGATACCCAACAAACAGCAGAGTCGAACGTGGCGCATGGAGCCTCTTCGTCTCGAAGAACAGGAAGAGCTTTGAGCCTGCAGCCAAGGTTTACTCATAGCACGCGAGATAGAAGATTTTCTTGGTCAACTGGCGGGGCTCAAATCGAATCAGATCATTCCCTCTCAGGAATTCCCACTACCTCTGAGGTGACGAATGATTCTACATCAATCCGAGGGTCTTGGATTGATCATATGAACGAAAATGAGCTTGTTAACTTCTCTTCCGACGACGAGGGCGAAGGTGATACTGAAATGTTCATAAAAATCCATTGAGATTTGCGCATATAGCAGAGGGAAATGAAAGTCAAGGAAGCGACGAAAGTGATAGCGACAGTGACATCAGCAGCATAGTGGGGATGTTGTTGACAGATGAACAGCTTGCGAGAATGCGCGACATGCGACAGGTGAGAAATATTCTGTCGTTACACGAGAAGTTTACATTCATGGGCAGAATGAGACCACGGATTCCAGGCCGAGACATGGAGATCAGGGAGAATCAAGGATGAATTCTTCACGTATACACGAGGGGTCGAGGACCTCGAAAGGAAGCGGAAGATCAAGACTTCCAAATGGAAACGGGCTGTCTCAATCTGGAAACGGCAACGGATATTGGATAACAGAGCGATACGGAGCGCTGCAGGTAACTTTGTAATTGCCTTCTACCTTGATTTTTATATATGGTTTGGTCAGGGACAATACCGCCATGTGTTTGTGGATGGCGAGGGAAGAAAATTGACCGGGAAAGCAGCGTGGGCAGCAAGTCGAGGGACTGGAGTTACAAAGTCGAGGAAGAGAAGGTTCAAGAAATCAGGCAAGTCCAAGAAGAAAGGCTTCGGCTCCAAGAAGTTCAAAGGACGTTCGAAACCCAACGGAAATATAGATTCGAAAGGTCCACCCAAGAAGCCTTCGATGCGGAAGCCAAAATCTACATTCAAGAAGGAAAAATAAAACGCTTCACGTGCACGAATCATGCTTTCGAGAACTGGTTTGTTGATGGTTGGAATCAGTTTCACTCTAGCATGATTCAACGTGATATTTAGACTAGATCAGTTTTATTTCTTGTCTTCAACTTTCAAAGAACTCAAGGGAATCTTCATAGTCAACCTCGTTGATCTCTCAAATCCGTACGAAAAAGCTCCTCTCACAATCTCCTGGGCGTTTTCGTCCTCAGCCACAATCTGAAACATTACTCTTACAATGCGCACGCGAACACTCGAGCAATAGGAAAACCTCATATCCCATTCCCTTATAAAGTTCAGTTGCAGCTACATTGCTCTTGCTGACCTGCAGATTCAATCATTCAAAAACTCTTCATTGTTGAACGAGCAAGAGAGCTGGAAGAGTGACTCAACAACTTACCTCGAGCCACACAGATTCTTCTTCCTTCCCCAGCTCCAACGCTACGTCATGCGCTGCCTTCATCAGTTGCCTTGCAACTCCTTTTCGGCGGCACTTCTGTGAAACGGCAAGATTTGCGATGTACAACCGACGTTCGAACTGATCAGCAGGGTCCAGGAGGGACAGGCCTGGGCCCATTGACAACTTGAAGTCGTTCTCCTCCTTACTGTACAAGGTCCGACTCACGTCCACGAACCCGACGAGCATTCCTTCAACATCGATGGCGACAAGAAGCCTGCCGCACCTCGGCTGCTCTATGTACCTTGAGATTCTGTTCTCGATGTCTCGTTCGATCTCGCGCAGAACAAGCCCTCGTTGTAAGTTGGCGACAGGGTTGAGGATACTGAGGGCTGACTGCTGCCCATAGAAACTTTCGCAGCTCAGTTGCGACAGAAACCTCACATATCTCTTGTCCATGATCGGCTCCACATAAACTTCCATCGCCTCCATTCTGACCCTGGGCTGAATATTGCAGATTACAGCTCTTCCCCACCTCTTTTCTGCCCCTGCTTCATGGAGCAGCCTGGATCTGCACATGGGTGATACTGGGACATTCTTTCCTGAGATACATGATTTTGGAGCCAACAAGAAGGCGTCAGTGCGACCTGGAACGAACAAGCAAGATACAAACAACGCTCTCCACCAGATTCCAGGCATGGCAGCGTATGCCATGCCACCTATGACATGATCAAGTCAGTAAGGTCACAATGAATTCAATATGCGACATGTTGATTTTTGCCCTCTGCTCAGCATCTCTCTGCATTGTAATCTCTCGATACCAACGTGAATCCCCTCGTTTTTGTGATAATCGTCCTTCTCTCACTCTTCCTTAATCTGTTTGTCTCAACATTTCTGCTCTACGTTACTCAAACAAGCAGAGACAGCTAGGAGGAGTAAGTTCTTCTAGCAAGGACAGCAAAATCCTCTGCCAGACTGGCATGCAGGAGCGGAACGTCCCAGCCGCCATTGTGCATGTCCCTGTGCCATGTCGGACAGTCTTCGTTCAATTACCTCAAGCCCGCCTCAAGGGGAAAATGATGGGCGGAACAAGAAATGAGAACAAGTCCCGGAGACTAATCGCATTTTGATAGCTTTATTTCACATCTTTGAGAAAGTTCACTGTTTAGTCTGTTGTTGCATCTTTGAAGATCCATATTGGATCTTTTTCTCTTTCTGCTTTGAATATCTTGCTTTATCTCTTACGCACAGATCTATCATGAGTCTAGTGACATGTCATTGATCATTTACTGACCTTGCCAATTATGAATGACTTCGGCTGTTATTTCTCATCTCATCACAGCTAAGTATTTCCGATCTCTCCCAATCATAGAATATCCAAATTGTCAATAGATGACCGCACCGGACTCCAGCCTAACAGTGAGTTCATTGACCAGCGGAGGAACGAAAGGCCTCAATACCCCACTCACCACTTTCTCTTCTCCGACTAATCTCATACCCTATAGGAATATTTGAGGTCTGAATCTTCTTCTCCTCAAATCTATTGGATCTAAAGTCAACATCAACACGCCTCGTCCTGTTCAAAGGTATCGATGTTCTCGGTACTTGGGCACAGTTCAAGGCATGCCGAAAGTGCCTGCTCAACGTTTCGACAACTGTCGTTTAATGTTACAATACTATCAATTCCCTACAGAACATTTCACTTCCTCTGTAGGAAGTTAACTACAACTAGGACTCGTACGTACATTCCCAACCGTGACACATTACACATCGGTAAGCCAACAGTTGTCATGATGCCCGAGGCAATGCAGGGTGGAGCTCGCCGCTATCCATTTCATATCATCAGAGCACGGACACAAGAAGGAAGAAGGCTCACCTGATTTCCTTGCACGCTGGTAGATCCGCTCCGACCTTACAGCCTCTGACTTGGTAAGACCGTAGCTAGAGAGACGAGGCCTGTCAAGAGTTGAGATGCTCCAAAGGAACAAAGAGTCAACAGGTATTAGCTCTTTTCTGATTGTTTCTGAGTATCATCAAAGGGAAAGTCACTCTCACGCTCTGAGAACATGTGAACAGAGTCGAGAGACTCCTGCAACCGCTGCGGTACATTTTCTGCTATGCACATTTTCGAAGGGTTTGGGAGATCATGATCAACGACAGCTAGTTTTCTTTCACTTTCTGAACCCATCCTCGTGTTGCAAACAAAAAAAAAAAAAAGACCACGAGAACCAATTGAATCACACACAAGAAACTGCTGCTTGCGAGATTCACGAAGAGACATTCATGGAAGCAACCCGGCAGTCAGATGAGAAGGGAATCAAGAGAGGGTCGACATACAACGAGCACCATACGATCATAGTTAGAGTTCATGTCTCCATGTCTCTTCTCTCACCAGGCCTTGTCGGCTCCTTTTGCCATCGCCATCTCAGCCTTCATCACTGATGCGAGCATGGCGGCGAACCCTCCTTTACCCCCACCCCCTCATTCGACTGTGTTAAAAGACCCCTGTTTTTGTATACCCCAGTTTCTTTATAGAAAAGTACCGGTGTTTCACACTAATAACTCGCAACGATTCGTATTGTTGCTGCCTGAAAAGATAGAAATGAATGGATAGGTTAGATTCTTGAAAAGATAGAAATGAATGGATAGAAATGAATGGATAGATTAGATTCTTGAAAAGATAGAAATGAATGGATAGAAATGAATGGATAGATTAGATTATTGAAGGAAGGAAGGAATGAATGAAGGAAGGAAGGAAGGAATGGAAGGGAAACGGGAAAGAAACCCATGATCATATGGCGATTTTTGCATAAAGCATTCATTGATTTCTTCTATGTCGACTGTCTTTCATCACGATTAGTTCATATCAAAGCTTGTTTCCCTTCATCAGCCCACTCTGCGTTGACTCGTTGTTTCAGCACACGAGAAGCATACATCTCCTGCTTCATGATTGCGTCCTGCAAGAGCTTCTCACATACCATCTCTCCTCGAATCAGTAATCTCCTTACCATAGCACCAAGAAGGATTGCATCGTTGTCTCGTATCATGTTAACAGCTTTCCTCATCTCGTCCTCACTTATCAGACTCATATTCTGAGAGCATACATCATCCATCAGAAAAGCAGCAACTCGAGAAAACAGGAGCTTACGAGCATGTGTGTCAGAGCTTGCAGCTTGTCACTCTCTGCCTCTTCCGCTATGACAGGCGCATGGTCGTTGACTGCAACCTCCTCTTCCCCCTTGTCCATCAGATTATGAGAAATGCTGGCTACTCCTGTCTTCTTCCTGCATAAGAGTCCCACGGCGAACAAGATTATCTGTAACCCAACTCCCACGAGAGCGCACAGGATGGGCCCCCACTTGAGCCAGTACTGCAGTATGCTCGTATCTGCCGTCCTCGTCAGCCAGTCATCGCACACAGACTCTTGCGAGGACCTGGAGGGGTGAAACTCGCTTTGATCGACACCGAAAGCTCGTCCTGAGTCAAGCCTGACACCCTCCTGCTCAGCTGAACCTCACGGCCTGCCCTACGAGCTGACAAGCTCACGCTGCTGGTCACCTGCGGGAGAATCTCAGTCACCGACGCGTCTGCTCACGCTTCAAGTATCTCGTGCTACTCGTACCTTGAGGATACAAGCGTCCACCACGTTGGCATCGGGGAACAAATCTGCTCCTGTCAGCCCGGTGGTATCAAAGAAGCACTGCACGTAACTTCCGTTGTGCTTCACCTGCACCCCGATCGTCAACTCGTCAAGGCCACCGCTTGACAGCAGTGCGGCACCTGCGTCGACACCAGCCCGTCGTTGAAGGGGAAGTAGGTGACTTGATAGAGCCCGAAGTAGGGGAGCCCAGTGAAGGAGGAGGTCGACTGACCGTCCGGCCCGATGGAGTAGTCGATGGTAATGCCGACGCTGTTCTCGATCTCTCCTCCTCCACAAGCGTCCTGGGCTCGAGGCCCAAACGTCTTGCAGATCTCGAACTCGATGCTCTCTGTGCCCTGCGGGTACAGGGCTGGGCTTGCACGGATGTTGTTCCCGTACCTGTCGCGAGTCTGCACGTAGAGGGTAGAAGCTGATCCCGCCACGATGCTTCTGAGCTGCCCGTATACGTATGTCTTTGACACGTCAGCGGGAGCAGACTGCACCTCGAGGAGGAGGGGTGTGCCTGCCCCGACTACCCCCGCGAAGTTGATCTCGAGCAAGTAGCTGCCAGATCGGGTGATCCTGTACGAAGTCTCATAGCTGCCGTCCGTGTTGTCTGTGATCACGGCCGTCTGTGGTGAAGCTTCAGGGTCACGAGGAGCAGCCCTGGTCACGTCCCACAAGATCATGATTGCGCTCAGGCTGTCTCTGCCCGGTCGCCGGTTACCGAAGGCATCGAGGGCCGTGATCATGAAGGTCGAGACGATCCCGCACGTGGTGAGGGAGAGGAAGTTTCCTGCGGCGACCGATGAGTCCGGGGACGTAGAGCCCGGCAGGACTGTCAGTGTGTAGGGGTTGGGGTTGGCTTTGCTGCCAAGCTGCTCGAACTCGTGAATCGAGTTTGACGGCTCTCTGTCATAGCCGGCGACCAGGTCCTGGAAGTCTGTACCGCCTCTGCCAACGAAGATGCTCAGCTTGTAGGTTCCGATCTTCACTGGCGTGTAAGCACAGCTATACATCCCGTTGCCCTGGCTGACAACTGAAGGAGAGATGCTCGGGAGGTTTGTGCCTGAGATCTCAACGGTGAACTTTGCTCCCTCCGCTGGTTGTCCGAAGTTGTCCTACACATGTCGGCTATCAGCTCCTTCTCACGCTACTCTCTTGCTGACCTGACACTGCAGGTAGAAGATGGTGTTGACTCCCGCTAGGGCCGAGGTAAGCGCCTGCCCTGTAGCGCTGCAGCTCTTGTAAAAGGCGTCGGTGAGCTGGAAGACGTAGAGATCTCCGTAATTCACGAAGCCTGTCATAGGGGTGTAGCCAGTGCCTCCCTGCTCTGAGTCATTGATGCAAAACAAAGCCAATGCACTCACGATGATGTACAAGTAGTAGTTTGTCAGGTCCAGCTCGATGCCAGCTCCGAAGCGTCCGGATGGACGCGAGCCAGGCACGTCCACCTGTCTCGATCCGTCATGAATCATCTTGCAGGATGCTCCTGCTGACGTCACCTCCGCCCACGGCAATGTGGTGAGACAGCTCCCAGTAGACAGGCAGGCAAGGTCAAGGTCAGTAAGGTCCAGGTACCTGCCAGCCACGGTGAGGTGAAGCATCGGCGACGGAGGCAGACCAGAGGTCGTCGAGCACAGACGCCGAGGTGCTGCTAGCTCCATCGAGGTAGTCCAAGATGACCGAGCGACTGCAGCCGCCCGATCCTGCACACGTGATCCCCCCAAATACAAGGAGACGGCCGTTGACGCTCCCGGTGTTGCCCATTAGAGCGATTGCAGCGTCTCTTCGCTCCTTGGGACAGGCTCCGCCGCTTGTGTCGCAGCTGGTCATCAGCTTGACAAACAGAGCGTCGTCGGATGTGAAGTACGCGGTGTGAACCTCGTTGCTCAGGCTGCCACTCCCAGGTGTGATACCTCCATCGGCCATATTTACCAGGTCGCTTGTCTCTCCTCCGAAGGTCATGTAGATGATGTTCTGCAAACAAAGAGCGAGTCAGGACCTGCATGAGAGCCTCCAACAATGTCACTGAGAGGAAGACAAGGCAAACTCACGGTCCCTCTGAAAGAAAAAGCGACAGATCGATGGCCGTGACGGATGTTGGGCAAGGAGCAGGAATAGCCAGTGGAGCATTGTTCGCTGCTTGATTGATCGCCGTAGCAGTACCTCGTGTCGCCGTAGTCGTATGTCTCGATCTCCCCAAAATTCAAATCTTCTGCCATACCCTGGCAAACTCCGCGCACACATTCTATTCATTTACACGTCAGCGTCAGCTCCGCTCACCACAGGAATTGGTTTGTCCTTACTTGTATTCTGATGACTCTTACAGCTGCTTGTTCCAACGTACTCATACAAGTTGAACATGTAATCTTTGACCCCATCCAACACATACCCTTTCATGGTCTCAAAGCTGATGTCACTTTCTTTTCCATTGTCGTCTGCGAACACAAGCTTTGACAAGATCTCTTTGGACGAGAGTGGTGCTTGACTTGGAACATAGTCGACAGCATTCAAGGTGGATGCTAGCCTTATGTTGCCTTCTGCAACAGATGGAAACAGAAAATATTTCAGTGAGAACACTTGTTCTGAGGCCGCTGCAAAAGAGAGGATCACAGATAGATTCCGATCAGGATTGTCCTTCACTGTGATATCACTGTATATCCCTGCAAGAACTTGTTCGTTGAAGAAGACAGCAAACTTAGGATCCTCATTCACGAGAACAGGGTACTTGAACAGAACCTTCAAGTCATCGATAACACTTGGAGTCAAGTCTGCCGAAGTCACACCATCAAAGATGATCTTCACCATGATTCCTGAGCTCATGGTTGTAATATCCATGAGCCACATGTCCGACAACCCTCTTCCAGTGTTTCCAACGCCTCCATGGACAAGGATCGAGTCTATTCCCGGCAGGAAGACTCCGTTGAGGATACTGTGCATACATCGACCAGGAAAGCTCTGCCCTATCTTTGGTCGAGCTCCCATCCATGAGGTTGGATCGGCTGATGTCACGTCTTCGGACATGTACACGTTCCCTGTTGACCTCACTTGAAACTCTTGGTCATCGCTGCTCCCTGGAGCAAACGTGGTGCCTCTCAAGTATCCTCGCTGGATGCCTCCATGAGACGACATGATCTTGCCTTGAACCCCCGTTGCCGTGAAGGAGGTGAAGGCAGAGAAGGAGGAGGGATCAGGCGACTTGCTGCTCGCCTTGCTCGCATGGACCATCTTCCAATTCTGAGTAGCGAGGTCGAGCTTCCACAGGTCTGCGATGGGGCCGCCGCCTTGCATCCCTCCATACATGAGTAACGTCTTGGAGTCTGGCTTGGCGAGGCCCTGGAAGCCCCTTGGAGGGGGGCTGACTCCATAGTTGGGTACCCCGGAGAGTCCCAGCTCGGGATCAGCAGCAAAAAGGTCGTAAATAAAGACGGCGCTTGACAAGGAGTTGGCAACAAAACCTCCGAAGATGATAGCAGCTGAGCTATTGACCACCACAGAGTGACCCGTCATCTCATACGCGGTCGAGATTGAGCTCTGCACGGTTGTGCCAGCACTATACTCGACCTCGCTGATGGCAAGCTTGCCTACTGTGTAAGGAGGAATCTCCTGCTGCATTAGCTGGAGCGAGTTGTAGCTCTGCTCCGATCCTCCCACGACCAGCACCTTGAAACTGTCGGTCCCGATCGTGACCATGGACATCGCGACCAGACCGGGAAGAGATGGGCTCAGCTCAATCATCCGCATCGCGTTCAACCCGAGAAGAACCTTCTCGAGGTCCAACTCCCACAAGTCACTCAAGGGTGCTGTCAAGTGTGTGCAGACTGTCTTGCCGTTGACCGTCGAGGTCGCGGCACATCCGAATCCTCCGAACACGAGGATGATGTTGCCGCTGGTGACTGCCGAAGCATGTCCAAACCTTGCAGGAAGCCACCCAGACGTTGTTGAAGATCCAGAGCACGAGGCAGATCCTGTGGGGCAGTACTGCTTCCAACCCATGCGGGTCGCCACAGGATCGTTGGAGGCTTCAAGGTCCTTGAAATACTGATCTAACGCCTCCTTGGACTTGTGCATCGGTCGGGTAGTGGTTGACAAGGAGGGCATGCGAGAGGTAACACCTCCTCCCAGCAGCGCTTTCACGCCCGAGCTGTTCGGAGCAGAGGCCAGGCATATCCTCTCTCCACAAGCCTTGCCGGCACCATCTAGGATGCAGCACGGGGGGGTGGAGATGGCTGCGTAAACCGCGTTGGGGCTAAGCTGAGTCGTCGAGACTGTGACAGCAGCGAGCGACGCCATGCTCACCTCATCGTCAGGCGTCCACAAGCGAGACTGAGAGTCGTAGCGGTACATGCCGGTCATGCCTCTGAGGCAGATGTTGAGAGTCTTGTCGCTGGTCACGAAACATCCACCTGCCTTTCTCCTCCGCGTGTCGTCGATGTTGATGGTCAAACTTCCTTCGAGCCCGGTAACGGTCGTGTCGCTGGTGGTCTTGAGGCAAGTGCCTTCTACCCCAGCAAGACTCGCGGCTTGTGGGAGTCTGCTGGTCATCTCAAGGGTGACCCCTCCGAATCTATCCTCGTCCACTGAGGCCACGGTCACCAATCCATCACTTCCATCGGGGATGATGGCGGATATGCTAACTTGCCCCACGGTGAGAGTGGATCCCATTGATGACGTGTAGGAGACAGTCGTCTCTTGTCCTGCGATCAGCTTCTGCTGGTTGAAGGTGAAGAATCCTGCAGCCGACGTGAGGCTGATGGAGGGAGGAACAGCGTTCTTTGCACAGGCAGTTGCGGTGACAGTCGGAGGAAGCTGAGTCATTTGACCATTTTCAAGAGAGAAGGACAAGTCGAGGTAAGGACCAGCAGACTCTAGCATAGAGATGTAGTATATGCTGCTGGTCAGAGTGAACTTGAGCGTTCCTGTATCCTTGTTCCAGTCTGCCAGTCCTGCTTCCAATGTGTAGGGGCCTGTCTGAACCGAAACAACAGAACATGATTGCAACGAGGAACAGCCGATATTGAACCCCTGACCCGACCACAGACAATTGCTGGGACTTGAACCCTCACAAGCAACTTGGATCAGTCCGCTCTCTGTGTTCGATCCGGTTAAACCTGTTATGGATATGACCACGGGGTTGGTGTAGGATGCAGACACGGGTTCTATTGAGTCGGGATTGAAGTTTTCGATGGTAATACGAAGGTGAAGCGTGTTGGCCGCACCCACGATTTTGCTGGTTTCGCTTCCTTGAAGAGAGTAGTCGAACTGGTTTGAGCAGACGCATCCCGTGCTTGAGGGCGAGGGGTTGAAGTTCTGTATGCACGTGCACTGTTCGCTGCAGCCTCCAAGCCCATTCGAACTTCCCGTGTCGCATTCCTCCACAACCCCTGAATCCATGCCGTAGGAGGCGGGTATGTTGGTGTCCGACACTTCGATCCCATCTCCACAGATGTGGGGGAGAGAGTCTTGCGTGATGGTCACATCATAACACTCCCACAGGTCCTGTTCAAGGTTTCTGATCGCCTCCTCTACTTGTAGTTTGACGATCTTGTAATCGAACACATCCGAAACGGAAACGAAGATATCCCAGGTGAAGATTGGTGGCTCTAAATTAGTATTGACGCTGCTATCGATGCAAGTGAGCGACAGATTTTGAAAGTAAGTGTCAATGCTGGGATCAGATCCAGAGCATGAAGGGGTTGGAGGCATTGCAGGTGATACAGAGACAGAAAGGTACATGAATGAGTCTTGCAGGGAACATGTCGCTGCTCGAAGAAGATTCGAAGAGTTGTTGTTCAAGAAGGGCTTGCTTCTCAACTGACTTCCCTGTCTCCCTCTAGTAGCCCTGCGTGTCTGTGTTTGTTGAGTCTTGTCTTGGCTAAGAAGAATCTGATTTGTTGACTCCATAGCTGGTACAGCTGCCGATCTCAAGGATCCCATGCAGCACTTTCCGATGTTGCAGTCTGTCGTGCTACCGACACACTTGAATGCATTCGAAGTATAGCTCCACTCCCATGCCGTACAGCATGTCAGCCTTTGTTCACATTGTAAATCAGTGTTGGTGAAGACCTGCTCGTTACTGTTCGAGCAAGCTTCTGGGCAAGAAGCCACTTCAGTGTACTTGTTGTCTTGCACTTTACCACCATAGACGCTGGTTTGATCATTCGCATTGTAGCAGGAGCATTCCCACTCCTCACAGTAATTGTCTGGGCACCAGGCCCCGGCTATCTCTTGAGCGTCCGGAGGGCAGTCCATGCCAGAGCTGCATGCGTATGCGTCGCCGGTCTCGATGACAAACATGCTTGCTGAACACTTACTGCACGACCTGGTTAACCCAGCTGGACATTCACATTGCTGGACGGTACGAGGACAGTCAACAGCGTTCCGACACTGACAAAACCCATTGGTCGCATAATCATTCAGGAGAGTTGTGTCTGTCCAGTCTTGAGAGGCCAGACAATCGATATCAAACTGCGAGCATCCGTTGGCAGTGCAAGAGCTTGCATCTTTGCAGCCATCGCAAGTTGCAACGAGAGGTGATACCCTCTCCCACTCAGCGCATGTTTGGCCTGCACCTGACCAGCACTCGCACTGGTCAGGTCCACCTGTCCCTTCGTTCACAATCTTGCCGCTTGAAAACTCTTTGGAGTTCAGCTCGAGGTTCACCACCAAATCTCCGGCATACTCCGCCTGCACTGAGTCTGAGAACATGTTGACGTAGATTGGCTGGGCCACGTGCCAGATGCGAACGTCTTTCTCCTGCACTCACCCGCACCTCGTCAGTAACTCGGAGCAACAAACGGGTCATCGTTTACTTGCAAGGATGAGTTTGTCCTGGGGTCTCTTGCTGTGGGTGATCGTCCCCCGTCTCTCAGCTTGGGAAAGAGAAACCCGTAGGGGTTGCAGCGCGTGGGATCACTCTTAGGAGGACAGGACGGCCACCACACTCTGATTCGATCGATGCTCCCCTCAAAATTTTGATATCCGCTCGCTTCGACCGACGGGCTGTTGCCTCCGATGTACAGGCTGGTGATCCCTGTAGTCAACCTGAGATTTTCCTTGATGTTGATGCTTGCGAAACCAGCCCCGTACTCCTGCACTGTATCCGCATCTATGAACATAAACGCCTGCGCGATCACGGCGTCTGGATCGTAGTCGGAGGGCGAGTAGACTCTGCCAAATCTCATGGTGAAGCACACATGATGCCACTGGCCGATGAGCTGCTGCTCGATCGGGCCCCATCTCTTCACTTCCTTCTGTGCCTGTCAAGGCTGCATCATTCTCATAGAAGCAACAAGTCGAGCGTTCTTCGCAGCACCTTGCCAGGCTTGAACAAAAGTACGCAGAACAAATTGCTGTCAATACTCTCAAAGTACCATCGAAGTATCGGCGTTTCTTGGTAGTATATGTCGAACAGAATCGTTTTGGTCCTCACTCGAGTATTCAGCAAAGTCCAGGCTTCTAGCCACAACGTAGAAAGAACAATCTTTTCAGAAGTCCTTGAATGAACCTCATTAGCCCCTCGAAGCAAATACCTATTCATGAGACATACCAGGACGGAAGCTGGACTGAAATGATGTCGTCGATTCCGTCGAAGACTGCCATGGTGTCGGCAGTGTCGGTTTCCTTGATACCCGCCTTCATGTCAGCAAAGTTGAAAGTTTCACTCGCAAGGCCTGTTAAGGCTTACCTTCCTTGCAACATCTATGAACCAGATGTCCTTCATCGGTTGCGGCACCGCACATGTCGGGTTGTCCCTCATGCAGTCCATCTGAGCTCCGCCAATCAACACCACCGCATCTATGAGGTTTCCTACGTGACCGGCGTATACCATGCTGCCAAATGCTCGACTGTCTGGGGTCAACGCACTCTGAATGGCCGTCCACTTGTAAGAGATCAGGTCCAGCTGCCACAAGTCCTTTGCCGAGGAGAAGATCTCTCGCTTGCCCTGACGGTCCGGGCATTCCTCAAGGCTACCCATGATCCCTCCAAAGTAAAACGCCACCATCCTCACCCTTACCGACGCCGCATGCGCGCGACTTCCCGGCCCTCCAGCTCTGCTGGAAGGGAATCTACAACCTGGTTGACTCCCTTGGATGCACGTCCAGCTGAAGAGCGACAGGTCGAAGACCCAGACATCTCCCAAGAGCTCAGGTCCCACACCAAGACCGAAGGCGATCAACATCTGGTAAGCGGCGTTGTCGTAGACTGTAGAATGACCGCTTCTTGCTTTAGGATGAGTCCCTGAGGCCAGAACTACACGGCAGTCAGCCCGACAATGGTTGAACGGGACCTTACCTTTGCTCCAGCCCGACACCGGTTTGAAGGCTCCCAGGTACCCTGACGCACTTCCGTCCGACCCGATGCCTCCAAACGCCAACGCCAGGGTGTCAGACACGGCAGCGATGGACAAGTGCGATGCTAGTGGAGCAGCATCCGAGGCACTATATCGAGCCCAGGAGGACGTCAAGATGTCAAACATCCATGTGTCCGACAAAGCCTGCTTGAAGTCAGCTGAGTATCTACGTCGTGTCATGAACTTGCCGATGAGGCTCCAGAGCCTCCTGGCCCTTGACCGCCATGGATGTACACCTTGTACCCAACCAGCCACATGGCGTGAAAGGCTCTCATTGTTGGTCGTTCTGTGATTGGCGACACCTTCTTCCACGCGCTCATCGTCGTGTTGGTGAACTCGTTGAGTGCCCACAGGTCACTCTGAGCCGTTGTACCTCTTCCATCGAAGGCATAGCCTCCATGTATGTACAGCGTCTGGGTGCTCGAGTAGATGACAGATCCATGCCCGTACCGTGGAAGCGGAGACACTGAGCTGGTTGCAGGGGAGCAGGAATTCCACTCATACTTGCTGGAGGTGGAGATGGAGGTAGTGCTGGTCTTGATGTACCAGCAATCCTTACTGAGGCTCATGGATTCGATGACCATACCTCCGAAGATCGCAATTGTGCCTGCCTCTACATCATATGCCATGCTATGACCCCACCTGTGCCGAGGGCCCGAGCTCGAGGTCAGCAGAGGGGTCCAACTTGCGACTGGATGCACAGACATCCACCAGCAGTCAAGCAAGCTCCCTCCTTCGAATGTCGCGACAGAGGAGGCCATGGCGGAGTACCCACCGCACATTAGTGCGACTGATTGTGTGACCACCATGCGATGACCTGCTCGCGGGCCAGGCAAGCGCGAGTTGAGGGTCCTTGTCTTGCAATCCATGGAGGTGAACTTTAGGTTTGCAGCGAAGGTGACCTCATCCCATGTCTTTGCCGAAGAGTCATACATCCACACGTCTGCCATCACTGTTACTCCAGTGCTGTTGCTTCTGGCCCTGCAGGACACAAAGTATTATGGTTCGATGGGTTCGAGTCATGGTCGCGCGCAAGGAAATGCTCACCCGCCGTAAACGACGATGGTTCCTTGAAGGTTTCGGAAGCTCACTGTTGCATGGCTGTGGCGGGTCGTAGGGCTCCTTCCTACAGGATCCACGAGCTCCCACTGCAAGGCTGAAGCAACAGCGACATGATGAGTTTCAAGAACAGACAATCACTTTATTCTTACGGGTTGCGTGCAAGCATTGGAGGGAGACAAGACAGATGAAGCAAAGACAGATCCTGGAAGAGCGCCTAGTCGTCATGAGAGCGCGTGGATGGGACATCGCCGACCCTTGTTCACTGCATCACCGCGGTCGAAGTCAAAATGCTTTGCTCCTGCGCCCCGTGACCCACCCCCAACATGGCACCCGTCCCTTTCATACGCAGGACCACCCCCTTCCCCTTATCCCAATGCCAGTCAAGTAGGCATTAAAGCTTTTAGTTAGTAAATTTGTTTGAGGTACTACAGATGACTAAACTTTCAATATCTATTGGTACTAATGACACGGAATTGCGTCCCAGTGCCAATGACTATGAGGCCCTGACACTGCTTTTAATAACTAGTTTTTAGCTCCTGATCATCGATCGTCCTCGTACTGATCTTTAACTTAACTTTGAGTAAACTCTCATAAGTTCAAGCCTCATCTACTAGCGGCCGGTCGGATCCCGATTGTCCTCGTACTGATTTTTAAGTTAACTTTGAGTAAACACTAATCTTTCGGGGACACAAATTGAAGACCGAATGACCAAGTCACGAGAAAGTTTTAACATCATACTTCTATTCATCATGTTGTAATATGGAAATGTGATTCCGGTCTCCTCGCTAGAGTCAAAGATGGCGATGGAAGCATGTTGAGTGTGTTCAACACTTCATTCGATTACATTTTCATATAGTATGGACTGATACTATATCGGGGGCCTCTGAGTCTACTCTCCTGGCATGACTCATTGTATGAGTCCTGATTGTTCGTACTGGTTTTTAAAACTTTGAGTAAAGAGATTATTTTCAACTTAACTTTGAGTAAACGGAGGGCCGGGCCGCATCCCGAGTCCCGGAGTCCGATGGGCGCCTCATCAGTGCCGGGCACCAGATTCCTGAGGCGGACTGGGATCCTTGTTTTGTTCTTTCTTCGGCCGGTCGCATCGCACGAGCCGCGACATGCTGGAAAGCAACCATGTCAGGTTTTGGGAGAAGGCTTTAAGATGGAGCTGAAGACCACAAGAAATATGCTCGCTGGGCTTTTCTAGGCTTCTTGTTGCATTCCATGTCGATGAGGTGAGCGATCAATTGTGTCTTGCTTGCTTTCCTTGTCCACCGCTATCAAATGAGCCCCTTCTTCCTCGCGTCTTGGATCATAGGGTTTGCAGCATAGCGAGATGCATTCGTGTGCATCAGGTGACAGCCGTATCAGTCGGCTGCTCATTTAAAGACATACGAAACATTCCCTCCTCTCATCTCTTTTCCGGCTCATTCGAGGCCTGTCTTTGATTTTGTCGTTTTAGGCCATTCTTGGTCTTGTTCGGCTGGATGATGGCGTGCAGAGTTGAGACATGCAGCAGCCTTCAAGACAGCTACCCAGCCATCAACGGGGTCAATGTCATCTCGCAGGTGCGTCTCAAGGCGATGGCTTTGATTGTAAGTGAGCGATGGGTGAAGGGCCGCAAGTTGATTGGAAGGTTTTTCACACCGATGCTCAAGGGGACGGAGGTGAGGTTCATGGTTTGGCTTTAGATGCCTAATGACGATCGATCGCGATAGATATCAACCCCTGGGGTACTTCTTCTGCATGGATTGCCAGGGAACGATCTCCACTACGAGTTGGCATGCAAACTTCAAGGAGCTGGGTTTTGCTGTCTCCTCCTCCACTACTCAGGGACTTGGGGGTCCGAGGGAGCTGCGAGATTAGAGCACACCTATCAAGATGTTGAAGCCGGGATCAGGTAGATTCTCGTGACACTTGGATGCCATACTTCGATTCGTTGTTGAATTTCCGACATTCTTAATCTCCCTTCACTTGAGTTACCAATCATTTGTTTGTGAATGCGATTATGCTGTTACGAACCCCGACGCTCGTGTGAGTACTCTCTTACCAAGACGAAAGCCATGGGCGAAGGGTTTGCAAATCAGCTAGAACGAACAGTGTAGTTATCCTGGTTGGAGCCTAAACCAATGGGTATTTGACCGTGAAAGCTACACAACAATCTTCTGCATCCTGTTGCTTGTCTCGATGTTCAAATGCCGTTTAGTTTGTTTTGTTTCTTCGTTGTAATGATGATTCAACAGGTGGCTCTGTTCTCAACAGATCGTGGATCGAAATCAAATCCTTGTTGTCGGCCACTGCCTCGGAGGTTACCATTCTCTGAAATTAGCGATAGGTTCGCCCCATCTCACATAGCTATTCTCCCTGTCTTTCCCTCCTGACTTGAAAATCAGACAACGTAAAGCGAGACTGCACACTGTTGGGAGTGGTAGCGATGTCGCCATTGTTGCCAACTTCGAAGGGAATTACCTGGCCGCCAAAGGTTCTGGAAGCAGACTGCGAATTCCTGAATTCCTACATTTCTTCAAGTATGATTGCCTTCTATGTGCGACACGTTGTCAATTAGTCTTGCGCAGGTCTAGCTGTTGAGTGGTCCACGTTGGCTCCTCTCACATCTTTTATCAAGGAGAATCTCGACAAAACAAGACAAGTGCCAGTGTTGGTTGTGACGGGAGATGCCGACGAGGTTCATGGTCCCCAGCACTACAAGATGCAGCTTACGGAGATCGCCATGAGAGCAAACTTTTCAAATGTTGAATGGATAAGGATGGAGCGAGCGAATCATCAGCTGTCACATCAGCGTAAGGAGGTAGGGTTCAGTATTGTTTGTTCCCCACTCCTCCTACTGCTATTGCCACCTTTACCTCATCTCCTTTTTCATATTCTTGCTTTAGTTCTCCCATGCTCATGTTCCCATCTGAAGTGCAAAATGTGTCGCAGAGCTCTCAAGTCGTGACGGATTTTTGCTGTAAGCTGTCGACCTGTCAATATCGAATCAAGCCAGCTATTCTCCGCGCAATCGATTCCTTGAAAGATGCATTGTTCGATCCCGTCAGTATCATTTTCATAATCAACTTCGTGTTCTCCTTTCAGAGTGGAAGATTCATGTCGACTCCAGAAGGACGGAATTACGTGAAACACTTGATGGACAAGGAAGTCCAGAAGTTCAAGTATGACGAGAAGGCAGCATCAGGCCATTGGGGGTGACTTTATGTCCTTGTTAATATCCTGTATATTAGTGCCAAGTGTTTGTTATATTCTTTTCTATGTAAAAAGTGAATCAAATGACTCAGTCCATATCATGTGGCAATTGGCTCGTACTCACGGTCCTACCGCCGGTATACTGATCTGAGGCCAGCTTGCAGAAATCCAAAAGAGGGGGGATGAGGGTACGGGCGATGGGAGTTTTCCATGGCACCAGATCGCGACGGGTAAGCACGCGATTGCAAGAGAGAGGAAGCGAAGAAGGGAGAAGAAGAGACGTGAACAGAACGACAAAGAAGAAACGAAGAGAATTGTAATCAAGAGAATGATGGAGTAAATGTTCATGGACACATTCAACAAGATGGTGATATGAAAATCGAAAGCAAGGATTTGTAGTGAATAACAAAGATGAAGAGGATCAGGAGGATTGAATGTTTCTGGATGCGTGTAGAGACAAAAACAAAGACGATGAGGAAGAAAAATATGGTATAGAACGTCGTATCGCATCACGGGATCACAGATATCGACTTGAATTCTGCTGACTTGCGTTCTACTCAGATCTACGGCGTTAGTAGAACACTGCCATTTGTCTTAGGGAGCTCCATCTTTCTTCATCTTCTCCGCTCCTGGGCCTTTGCCTTTGCAATCTCTTCGTTCATCATGCAGGCAGCGTCACCTCTCCGAGTCGCTCACATCGCATCTCCACTCGTCCGCAGGCATCTACCTGGCTTGCCCCCTTATCCCCAGGCGCACGGAAGGAGTTCTTTGAACCTGCTGAGGAATGCGCTAGATCAGGCGATGAAGGAAGGAGCTGACGCCATCGCGCTCACGGGCAGCATCGTTTCAGCCCCTCCTCCTCTGCGTCAGTGTGACCTGGGAGAATACTACAACATGGAACCTCAAGAGATGATGTCAGCCGCCGTTGCTGATTATGAGGAAGTGAAGGTGACTCGCTTCAATCTCCCCTTCCCCCCCCCCCCCCCCCCCTCGCTCTCTCTCTCTATCTTTCTCTGCCTCCTCCCTCCCTCCCTCCCTCCATCCATCCATCCATCCATCCAACCATCCCTCCATCCCTCCCCCTCGTTCCCTCCCTGCTACCCTCGTTCTCCAAGTCACCCCGTTCCCACCTCTACAGTCCCTCCTACAAGAGACTGGCCTGCCATACTTCGTGACGCCCGGCGGGGAAGACTGTAAGTCTAGAGGACAAGTTACATCTTTCCCCTGAGGGTATGCCAGGCATTCAAGCCTTCAAGTTGGTGTTTGGAGTGGAGCCGAGCGCTCAGGAGGTCTACAGCAGAATGCCTGACGGCATGCAGACGGAACAGTATGATGTCAATGAATATCACGAGGTCCTGTCGTGAGCAGACTTCTCAACGGCTGACAGGTTGGACAGAGATGTATCAACGAAGATAGCTGGCAGGAAAGTTCTTCGACGCCTGGGGACGACCTAACGGGCTACGAGGCGTCTAGAGCAGCAATATCAGGGTACAAAATGTTTCCTGTGTATCTTCTCCTCCTCCTGACAATCGTCAGTTTTCGGACTCAGCTGCGCAACGAAAGAAAGAAAGCTTCCACGTACTCGCTCATGACATGACACATGTAGTCTGATGTGCTGGCAGGATGGACGACTTGGAGGACACCGGGAACGGGGGCGGATGTTGCGGCGGGGGCAAGCAGGGGCAGGAGAGCGAACGATCTTCCTGGTTCGAGAGCGGCAAAAGGAAGATCCTAAAAGACCCGGAGGACAACGAAACGAAGGCTTTCGCAGAGGCGCCGAAGTGGACGACGCCGGCAGAAGAGACCTCCTCGAAGCTTCTGATGGCAAGGTGAGCTCGGGGGGCAGTGTGGACGAGGACGAGGACGAGGATGAGGACGTAGGAAGGGAAAGGCCAGAGAGGAAAGGGACATGCTGTGACAAAGAGGAAGAAAGACGGCGGGGAGAGCGATGGGAAGAGAGAAGGAAGATGGGGAGGGACTGAGAGAAGGCAGGATGTGGGGTCGCTGGAGTGGGAGAGGAGGAGGAGTTTTGACCGTTCTTCCTGGGCAGGTTCTGTGACTTTATACCCTCCCATGGCAGCCCGAGGAGGCTTGAGTATGAGAGGCGACTCTTTGAAGGCCTGCTGTCAGAGAACGCTCCTAAGCTCGCCCAGTGCCACGTGCACTCGTTCCCCATCGCCTCCTCTTCCTCCGGCTCGGCTGGGCCACCCGGGCAAGAGGACGGGAGCAGCAGGCAGGATGGACTGCAGTACTTCGAGCACGAATCCCTCCTGAACGACATCTCCCGTTCCAATAAGTTTGTCCTCTCGCTCAGCAGGTGGCCCGTGAAGTTCAAGTGTGTTCCTCCTCACTTTCCCTGCAGCTTGTCTGTGGAGCAGAGCAAGTCAGGGCTGCAGGTACGACTCCTCCCCCTCCTTCTCCCTGCTGTGAAGTTCATCTGCCACCTACAGGTCCACACGCATGCAACGGGACGGGCGACATTCGTCGAGACTCCTTCTCTCGCTGTCTTTCCTCACGTTTTCTCCATGCACAATCTTTCCACCTCTGATCTGAGCTCGATTTCAAGGTGATGTCCCTGTCTCTTCAAACATGCACAATCATATCCCATCCTTGTCACGTCCTCCTCGTCTATCTCCCTTTCTTCTTTCGCCTTCTCCTCCCCTGCCTCTTCGCCATACTCTTCCTTGCCCTTCTCTCGCCATCTCTCCTCCTATTCCCCCGCACCCCTCCCTCGCGATCTTTCGACTCTATTCTTTCCTTCCCTCCTTCCTTCCCTCCTCTTCTCTCCCATTTGCTGATCCCCACTCTCCCCTCGTTTCCTCTCCTGCTTCTGAAACACTGAAATCTCCTCGTCCTCGTGCCACCAGACTGTCGTCATCCAACAGGGAGTTTGATACAAAACAAGAAGTGCTGCAGCACAAACACTTCTGGGGACATGAAGAGATTAATCTGATTGAGCGTGATCTGTTTCCTGCTCGTCCTGCTTCCTCGCTCCCTGTCATTGCCTTCCTCGACCGGGATGGCGTCGTCAACGTGCAGGCAGCATATAATACCGGTCCAAACGCCATGCAGCTCGTCAGAGGCGCCGCGTCCGCCATCGCTCGCCTGCAGGTCAGTAAACGCTGGATAAGGATGGGGCACAGAGGAAGAGAGGAGAAGGGTTGGGGGTGAGTGGGTAAGCGGAGGAGTGAGATGGGAGTATGCAAGGCCAAAGGGGGGAAGGAGAGGAAGAGATTTGAGGGAGTGGAAGGAGGAGGGAGGGGGGCAGGGGGGCGGGAGGCGAAAGACTGACAGGCCGGTCAGGAGCGGGGGGTGAAGGTAGTGATTGTTTCGAGTCAAGCATGTGTTGGGAAGGGGTACTTACTGACATCCCACGTCCACGCGGTGATGGACCGCATGTGTGCGATGCTCCGAGAGGAGGCGAAGGCTGACAGGACGAGGAGCACGGGGGACCTCTACCACTTGGCGCAGCCCGACTGCATCATCTTCTCAGTCGGAGCAGGAGATAAGGCCGTTCACCCGTCCTACCAGGACGTGTCCGGGGCGAAACCGTCGCCAGCGGGTCTTCTCAAGGGCGCAGAATGTCTGGGGCTGGGGAAGCGCTTCAGGGGATACATGGTGGGGGATCGAGTGACTGACCTAGAGGCTGGACACGCCGCAGGATGCAAGACCGTTCTTGTGCGCACTGGCGTTGGACAACAATCAGAGCAGGCGCTGAAGGAGGTGCACAGGGAGAGGTTGCTGGGAGTGGTGGAGGATTTGACAGCAGCAGTCGATGAGATCTTGAGAGATCTTGAGAAGAAAGCTTGACAGAACATGAATGGGTTGAGTGAGTGTTGGTGTATTTGCAAAGGAAAATTAGTCGAGATCTTCCTGCACCTCTTCGGTCTGTAGTTTTCTTTCTCGTCTTCTTCGCAGCCTTCACTTCCTGTACCTCTCCTTCTACCTCCTTCACCTCTTCTTCCTTCATCAACTTTGCTCCATTCTTCCCCTTTCCTCTCCCCTTTTTCTCCTTCACCTCTCCTCCCTCCATCGCAGCTTTCTCTGCTTCCCTCTTCTCCCTACAGGAATGATAATACTCCATCTCCTTCAGCTCGATCTCGCCAGCCGTTAGCCGGACCTGCACCACCAAGACAACATGTCAAATCCAAGTCAACGATGAGTCAGCTTCACCATCAAGTCGTCGTTTGACCTCTCGCGGAACTTCATGCGCACGTAGTCATGCATCGTCTTCCTCCATGGCGCCTGGGGACATCGCTGCGCACTCCGAACACAGCGTTTGTACCTGCGGACCAAATGAGGATGCGCACAGACCCTCACTATGGAGAAGTTTGAGGAGGACGGTTGGTATTAGTATGGATGATGATGAGGAGGAGGAGGACGAGCGTAGTTATAGCAGTAGCAGCAGTAGCAAGAAGAAGAAGGGGAAGGGGGAGGAGTAGGAGAAGTGGAAGGAGAAGGAGAGGCAAAAAAGCAAAGGAGTGGAGTAGGGAGGAACAGCTTGACTAACAAGTTGCGCACAAGACGCCTTGAGATCATAGGGCGGTTCCTCGTAGCATAGTAGAGCGAGTCAGCGTCTTTCTTGCGATCCTTCTTCGCTGCCCTGCTGAAGACATTCTTGTAGTTTTCGAACTCCTCGGGCGGGATCAGGTGGGGGTCTTGTAAGAAAAAAACTCACACCTCCCCACCGCAACATTAGCACAGTCCTCACTTTGTATAAGGTGTTCATCAGCATCCTTCTTGGAAGCCTTCTTTCGAGACTTCTTGGCTGGTTGTACCTGCTGTCTTCGTTCACAGGCATTGAGGCGGACTGCCACGTCCTACCGCTTTCGTCGCGATCAAATCTGTTGCCGCTGCTTCTTCCTGTGAAGACTACTCTTTGTGAATCCTGAAGCGCGGGAGACAGGGGCTGACCTCTTCTACACGCTTCTTCAGAGCATCCTTCGCCTTCTTCTTCAACGCAGATGTTTCCATGTTGTCCATGAGTCCTTTGAGACGTGAAAGCAGCTCGTCCTTGTTCCCTGTTGTCTGATCGTGCATGTCAGTCGTCTCGTCTCCACGTTCTCTCGAGGTACCTTTGCGCCTAACGCCTTTAGTCTTTCCTGCATCTCCGTCTTCTTCAGATCGCCTAGCTCTCCTAAATCCTTGCTGAGCGCTGAGTTTGCAAAGCATCTTGCTGCTGTTGCCGTGAAGGTCCTGACGCCTTGCCGGAGGGAGTTAGAGGAGGAGGCAGAGAGGAGGGAAGTGTTGATGCCCGGGAAGGGACATAACGGCATGCATTGCGTTGCCGTCCTGCCGAAATCTGCGCCGAACCTCCCGAGGATCCTCGCCATGGTGGAGGCCAACGGCGATTTGGCCGTAATAAGAAATAACCGTTTTGTAACGGTGAATGGAATTGTGGATTGAATCGATTCGGTTCAGTGGGAAACGATCTGGACGATGTGGGGTGTACAGTAGTCAGGGGTGGTGCTTCTCTGATGAATGATGGGGTACTTTTATTATCAATAAAGGGGTGAGTGGTGAGCAATTTTCGAAGAGAGGAATTTCTTGGGGTGGGGTAGTCAAGCCAATAATCGGGCGCCATGGAGACAAGAAAAGCAGCGGAGGAGGCGATAGCCAAAGGAAGAGAGGTGAGCAGAGAGAATATGAACACAGAAATGAACGCAAACTTGCTTGCCAGTATACATTCATGATAGTCCTACTATGTGTAGTCATCTTCCTCCACGGGAATGCCTGATCTCGGCGTCAGATCTCGATGTTTCCTTGCTTCTTTGTCCCATTATTGGATCAGTACACCCATGCTGCAGTCTAAGTTCTGGTCATGCTTATGAAAATCAATGAATCTTTGATTCTAAGGGCAAGGAAGAGACAAAGATTCTAAATGATTATGCCAGAGGATGATGCACTCTTTATTTTGACTGCTTTACAGTATACAGCGAAACTTGGAGCCAGTAATTCAGTTTTGAAAGATAATGTACTCAACTTACTTGAATTTCCTCATGATGACGTCAAACTGAAGGTTGTGTTGGAATATTCTTACGATTGATCTAAGACATTATGCAGATTGAAAGCCTGCAGAAGCATGCATCCTCTTTTGGTCCGTTCTAGGATGCAAATATCCCTTGATCTACTGACTGGCAGCAGGTGAAATCCTGTCCGAAAAGAAGCGAGAGATCGAGCATCTGATGAAGGTGAGAATTATGTGCAGCATCCAATCGCTATATCTGAGAGGATCGAAGACAACGTCAGAGAGTAGGCAAACCGTGCAGTCCGGTATGAACGTGCCTAAGATGTCCAAGAGTCCTTTCAGATTGAGCATGGGGGTTCAGGAGATTCCGAGGATGATTATCAGCAACATGGTTCGTTGAGGGCAACTGTGAGAACACTCGGATTGACCCTATCAACCCTTTGATGAAACATAAAGGTGATGGAGCTTCGAGAGAGAGAGAAACAGTTGATGGGACAGGTGAGCGTGTTTGTTGCGGTGCCTGCATTTGACAGAGACGGCAGATCGACCTGTTTCATGCTATCAAAGAAGTCCCAACTCCGTCCAAGGATGAAGAAAAGAGGTGACATCTACATCAACACGAGAATCGGTGACGCTAGCACTGTGAAGCATATCCCTGTTCAAGGAGATATCAAGACTGAACCAGGAGGTGGCCATGAGTTGGAGATCGATCGAAGATCGTCATCTGATAGTCTCTTGTGACTTGCAGATAGTAAACCTCAGAGAGGAGAGGGACAACTGGAAGTCAAGAGCCTTGCTCGCAGGTCTTGATATCCCTCGTACAGGACGAAAATGCCGGTGACATCGTGCAGAGGGCAAGCTCGACAAGCAATCCGCGGTATCGCCCAAGGAAGGGAAGGATTCAGACACTCGAAACTCTGAAAACTTCCAGCTTCCCCGTAATCTACATCAAGACTACGAGTCTCCTGAACTAGCTTCCTTGTCCCGCATTTCCAACGTCTACAGCCCTAGTGAAACTTGGAATGGTTCTTAAATTCAGTCGTACATCGGAAACTTGTTTACTGATTGTTTGCATACAAGGGAATGGAGAATTCAATTTGCCGTGGAGGGGAAAAGAGCCTGTGCACAACAATGCGGTCAGAGACACGAGGCTGGGTCAAGATGAAAGCTCTGCAAGGCCTGCAGGAGAGGAACAGAACGATAGAACTCCTGCTACTGGAGCTGAAGCCCAGCATGTGCGATGTTTTCATGCTCTAGATACTTCTGGACTTACAACCGTTTCCAGGTCACCTTCAACCTTCACCTTTCGAAATTGTAGTCTTGTGGCTCTTTGAAACCCAACCTGATGGTGCACTTTCAGGTACAAGGTCATAGAAACGAGCACGCGAGAAAGAGCATCATTGAAACACAGTTTGAGCCTGGATGTGGGACTTGCACTCCCTTCTGGAGTAGAAATGAATGCTTTGCTTGTACAGATCTTGATCGCTCTGAAAAGGTCTGGAATGAGTTTCAACTCGTCGGAACTCCAGGTATGGATCATGTTTGTCTGCTTTGCTTTCATTGAGCCTCTTGATGATCAAGATATTATCCATAGAGCCCGATACGTGGTCGGGTAATGGAATCTCCATCTTCCTTTGTGTGGATGATCTTTGAGACGGCAGATGATGGAACGGAACCAACTACACTTGTCGTCATGCAGATCTCATCGTCGGCCAGTGCAGTAAGTTCTGATCTCTACTCTCTGCCGAAGTAATTGACTACACTCGCAGCTCCACAATCCGACTCAGGTTATTGAGGTGCTGAAGCTATCTCTCGTGCTCTCTTGCTGTAGTAATCTCGTTTGAACGTGAGATCAGGAACTGCAACAGCAACTCAACGACTCCTCTAGTGCCTTGAAGAACGGTAGAAGACGATGTTTGATGCGTTCGATGACGCGTCGGCAGGCGAGGCCTCTCAGCACTTGATGAGAATAAGTCATCAGTGATAACAGCAGCCAGGAGCTTTGAACACATGAATTCAATGATTAAGTAAAACAATACAATTCCTCGCCAATTCCCCCCGTCATTGCTGAGTCCTCGACGAGGCACGCTGCGGCGCAGCACCGAAAATGAAGAGCACGATGGTTGTGATGATGACTGCCATTGCCAAGACGATGCGAGCGAAGATGGTGAATTTCATGAAGTTAGACATTGGTCTGTCTACTTCCACTGAATTGAAACGGTCAAACAGATACAAGACTTCTTTGACATCTTCTTACCCGCCTGGCGTACTGGGACGACTTCGCTCATGTTGACTGCCTGGAAAGCTGCGAAAATTTCTGAGGAGGCAACACTGACGCTCGTCACGATGACTGAGACCTTAGAGAAACTTGATTACGTGACTCACAAGAGTCAAATTGAGTCTTACATGGTTGAGATCCTTGTCTTCGTCTGTCGAGGCATCGCAACCTTGAAAATCATGATTCAGCAATGAAGGAGCCAAGAGAGCGTACATTGATCATATTCCGGCTCCTTCGAAGCTTCCGAGCTTTCCGCGTTCTCAGCAAACATCTTGTGGTCCAGAGGTACTCTTTGAACCTGCATTGGAACTTCAAGGTTGTATGCTTTGTCCATCATTGATTGTGAATCAGTGTTATGTTGCATCCCGACGGGTGGCTCGATCGGGATGAATGAAGAAGGCTGTGTTTCTGCTTGAAAGTTAGTCAGATTTGCAGCTGGCTAGGTTATGGCGGACCAGAAAATATCGACAAGGTATCTACAGCGGCAATTGCAGACACCAACGAATTAAGCATTCCACTTCTCTGTGGAAAAAGTCAGCACAGGATCACAAATTCTCGATCAATTTGCAATCACAGATATCATGGCTTTGAATCTGTTATTAGACTTCTTTGATTCCCTGCAAAACAAATGTTACCTACATCCTTAGACTGGATGCAAGAATTTACATGGAAGTGTCAATGTTCTGTTTTGATCCATCTTGCCACAAGGTTTCCAAATTAATCCAAGTGACAGTATCTCGGCAAACTGGACAAGCCCAGATTCCAGTTGAACGAAGTCCATGACTACATCAAATGTCAGTTTCATGTCAGGTAGGAAGAATTGTATCGCTTACAGTTCGCTCTGATATGCACATGATTTGTGAAAACAATGACGACAATTCGTCTTGACAACCACACCAGTACATAGATTTTCAAGACAGATAGTGCAAGCATTTTCAGCTTCCTCTGATTCGTCTCCAATGTACTTTGGACGCTCGTTTCGCTCTACAATTTTCATCCCTCGGAGAACATGTAGATGAGAAACTGAGTTCTCAGTATTGCAAAACGAGAACTGGGACCAGACTGATGCATTAACGTCACTCACAGTTGCTACACTGTTTTCCCGGGTGAAACCATGTGCAAAGCTCGAATTTTCGGCAGCAACGAGAGCTGCAGGCTCATAAGCATAACCGTGAGGACCTGAAAGCTGCTCTACAGTTTGAGCTGACATCGGAGACGATTTGGAATTACAGAGGAGTTTAGAAACAAAGACTGCAGTGCTTCTAGCGGGCGATGGATTGTTGGGAAAGGTCCATACGATGTAACCAGCGCTGAATGGTGGGTGTATGAAGGTCGCTCCATTGCTGAGAGGAATCACGAAATCTTTTTGCGGGAGTGGATACTGATTATGAACTTCAACATTGAAATTTTGAGACGGTCCAGCCTCCATGATTCACTGCAAAACAGACCTTTACAGATTGTCTTCCCTCGCGCTATTCCATCATCTGTTCATTGAACCTAAAGTAAAGTACATTAGAATGTTTAGATTTGAGCAATACTTTCGAATCATAGAACAGGAACATAGACAACACACATTTGTCAATAAAACATCTGCAAGAACACAGCAACCAACGAAGATTGAGAAATGAAGACATCAGATAAACAAACCCATGACAAAGGCGAGAAAAAGCAAAAGATTGTTTTAGAAAAGAATCAAAACTTGGAAATCTCATTCAAAATTCTCATCAATAGCCCTCCATGCTCTTTCCCTCTCTCAACACTCACTTTCCCAAGCAAATTACTTCTGCAAATTGTAATGCTTGAAAAACAAGAGAAATCGGATCTTAAATTTACTTCACACCCATGTCCATCCATGGAGTCCCAAGTTTTCTTCCTGCATTTTCGCTTTCCTCTCTGTCTATGTCTCCTCCTGTCCTGAAACTGCTTTCAAAACATTCGACTTATCCTTCATTCGCAAAATGCTATGAAAATCGGGCATGAGGAAACCTCGAATGAGGGTGGGTGGGGTAGTGATTAGAGCGAGGGAAGTGGAGTCGATAGGGGTACACTCTAGTGATCAGACCTGGAGGGTGGTCGGGGGTAGCAAAGGGGTGGAACCAGGGTACTTGGTGGAGTTTCACGGGGTGCAAGAGGTGTGAGTTTATTCGGGGGTAGGGGTAGTCTTCCTGACCTGTGCGGGGCTATCAAAGAAAGTCTCGATGTTGAGGGTAGGGTGGAGCTGTAGCTGGTAAAGAGGGTGAAGGGGGTGGTCGAATCCTACAAGGATACCTCCTCCAGTGGGTGGGGTAGTAGAGACCTACTTGTCACTTTACCCCCCTCATTGGGCCCTTCACACATCAGTCACATTCTACCCCAACCCCAGGGGGCTTTACCTCCCTACCGTACCCCAGGCTGTCACACTGGTAGATACAGAACACTACCCCTACCCCATGAAATCATCTCCATTGCCCCCCGCTTCCCCCGGTCTGACCCACCCCTCTCAGGCTTGCTCCCCATCTTCAGGTGAGCACGTCCCCTAAGGGTTTTCAGACCACCTACCCTCGCCCTTCCACTACCCACATGGTCACGATCCCTACCCTCTCTGGCGGGTTGGATGGTCTCTAAGACCACCCTCAAGGGCTGACCCCTGTTTCTCTCCCTGTGAGTCAATGTCATATCCCCTATAGAGAAGAGCCTCTAATCAGAGCACAGGCAGTAGTCCAAAGCATCACTTCCGGGAGGTGGATTGAAAGGGCAAGTTCACACCTATGGGATCACCTCCCTCAATTCGACGCTGGTTTTAACTTCCATTCCTCCGTTGCCACCCCACCCCTGCCATACGAGCTCCATGTAAGATGACATCCACCCTCCACTCCCATGAGGACCCCTCCAGCTCTACAGGGCAACTAGGGCAATAGAATGATCTTCGGATCATGATGATCATGATCTAAAATTATATGGGTACCCCACCCCCATTTCAAGCAAATCGATTTATATCCACCACCCACTGTTCACCCATTCACACCTAAAGTAATTAACCTTTAATCGACAAAAGGACTCCCGAAGGAGTCCTGGACCAGCATGACAGGGGTCATTGATAGGTTTCAATCACCCATCCAATGGGGCTGTATGAGGGTCTTAAAAAAGAAAAAAAAATCTTCCCGCCTTCCCGGAGTCCGACGGAAAGTTTGTGGCTGCTCGTTTCATCTTCCCGCCACTACAGAGTTTGCGGTCCGACAATACACTGAAACGATGGTAATGAAAAAAATGTAGCGACTACCTGCTATCTAACATGGTTTCGCCAGACTAACATACTATAACATGCCGAGGAAGAGAAAACGAATTACAGATGATTCAGACAACGGTCAAGAAATAAGTTATTCAAAACCATTCACGAGAGTCGTCAAATGTGGGTTATACTCGAGACTCAAGGTAGAGAACAGATCGATTTTAGACGTGATCGACAGATGGGTATTACATATCAGTCAGATCACATCAAGAGGCAGTATGATATTCAACTGTTTTCTGATATGGGGCAGGGATACAGGGAATTTACGATATGTAGTGGATGAAATCAAGAGAGCCAAATCGACCTTTTTCTGGAATGTTTTTACACTTGGAATGGAACAACATAGCCGTACAGATAACAAGTATCCAACTCTACAACGTTTCTGGTCAGAGAAAAGACATCTTTTCGTTGATTTATGTAGAATTCGAGGAGACTCGCAAGCTATTGTATTCGCTGCAAATCAATATGGAACGAATTTCTACCAAGACCTGAAAGCAAATTTTACAAACCGATTGGAAAAGTTCATTGCCGAATTCTGCAAAGGAGAGTTACATATTAACCATCAGCAAGAAATCGAAGACGTGAAGAATGTATTGTTTCAAAGGAAAGATTACGAGTTGAAGACAGAAGTGTTTAACAGGAATAATTCACAGCAGATAGGAACCTTCATCGACCATATGAAACAACTAATTGGATTATCGGGGGACGAAGATCTTTTTAGTTTCAAATATGACAAATTTGATCATAGGTTGCAGAAAAATCTGTTTGAGATAATCGAGACACACATGTTCATGTTGAAGTTCTTCGAAGATCGTGGTCTCTCGAAAAAAACATTCAAGGCAGCACCAATGTCGAAATTCGGCAGAAAACATCTAACAATCGATAATGATGTGATGTATTACATTTTGAAAGAAGCGAACAGTTTGAAACCGGGAGAAGATAAAAAATCGTTCATGAGAATAGATCAAACTTTGGAGAACTCTAAGAATTTCAGAAGGATTTTCGACTGTTCGAATCTGTTCAGAGATCAGAGAGAGGAGATTACAAGTATCACGACAGACGGTGTATCGGTTTGTTTTCGCTTCACGTTAATTGTCAAAACAATCGATGGACTCGAACAGGAACCTTCATTGCGCACTACCAAATGGCTTGCCGATAGAAAAAGGGCTGAACGGAAATCGGCGAAGAAGATATCAATATCATACAAAGTATTACATGAAAATTCAGAATACCAAAGAGAGATCGAAGAATGTAAAAATTGCCCAAGGGTAATTGCGATCGACCCTGGGAGGAGCGTCATTATATCGGCCGTCGAACAATTCAGAGATGATCAACAAATAATCAGAAAAAGATTTCAGTTTTCGAGAAAACAATATTATCACGAGTCACATCTGAATCGCAATAAAAAGAAAAGAAAGACGTGGGATCAAGATATTCAATCGACATTGCACTATCTCAAGGGGTTCTCGAGTAAGTCTGGCGGCAGTCTATCAAGATTCGAAGACTATCTTCTTGCAGTTACAAGTCATTGGGAGGAGTTAACTTCGCATTATTCAAAGCGAAAATACGCCAGGATGAAATTCGACATCTACATTTCGAAACGAAAGTCAGTCGACAGGTTTATCCGTACAATGAAAGGAAAGGGAGAAATAGAACCTGTTATCGCATATGGAAATGCAAGGTTCCCGTCTACAGGACGTCGAGGAGAAAGGCCTGTACCGGTCAGGTGGATAAGAAGAAGATTCGAGAATCACTACAGAGTCGTAGATGTTGACGAATACCGTACTACCAAGTGCTGTAACGATTGTGGTTCTGAGCTCGATGTGCTTCGACGGATTGAAAATACAGGGAAAGAACCAGACGAGACCTGTAGGTTGAAAACTGCCAAGGAAAAGTGAAGTACGAGGATTGAAATTTTGCAGATCATCGAGGTAATGTCAAGTTTTGTATACTCCTGTAATTCACCTTTTCATCTAACTGTTATCGTGACAGCTGTAAAGGAAAGCCGATCAAATCCAGGGACTTGAATGCTGCACTGAATATACTCACTTGTTTCAATGTGTTTCCTGAAAGACCGAATCACCTACGTCGCCCCTGAGGTGAATTCAATGATTGTTGTCGCCCCCTCCCTACCCAGACTGCGTCCCTCGGGACTCGATGCCTAATTCCCTGCCTGCCTGCCTGCCCGGTGCCTGCCTCCATTATGATCCGATGTTTACGACATGTGATCATTGAAGTGACTGACCGTGGCATCATTTGGTAGGATTCATGTAAGGCTCCAACAACATCCGAAGACAATTTGGCAAAAAAAACAACTGCCGTTGTATGACGGAGAGTCGCGGCTCTCAATCATACGACGGCAGTTCTGTGCGAAAACTTAGTTCGTCGTTCAGAAGGGTATTCACATATTCCGTCACATCATGAGGGAGAGTACCCGTGGTAGATAGATTCGTGGCGTTTATCTATTAAACACCTAAAGTCTCTGACCGGCGCTCACATCGGACCGAACGGCGGTCCGATCCGATAATTGCCCCGGGGCGGTGGCGACGGGCCCGGTCAGTTCTCTGGAAGACCGGCATTGCCCGGGCCTGGGTGAAATGTATCCGGAAGTATCCGCGGTGAAGAGGCACGTAGCTACCGGTAGGAAGGCGAGGGAGGAAGAGGTAAGGTGTGGATACTTCTTGCTTCTTGCTTCTTGCTTGCTTGAAAGCTCTTGTGCATCCCTCCATCTTTGAAAGCAACGTAAACCGCTATCGTGTTGCTCTCGTCCTGAATGAGTTTCTAGTTGTGGCCATCATGAATCGTCTGATGAAGATGGAATCATTTCCTCTCTTCCTCACTGCCGCAATTGCCATCTTTCTTGCTCTTCTTTTGTTGGCATCGCAAGACCATCGTCCTACCAGTGAAGCCCTCGAAAGCCCTGTTACCGTCCGATCAAGGAGTCAGATGCTCTATGGGTATGATGAGGGACCAAACAGCCTTGATTTCGGAAAGGAATCAGGCATTTCTGAAGGAATGGATCTGGTATGCAATCAAAAAGATCTGTTGTTTTCTCTAACTTGTAACATGGATCAGTCAAGGGACGACATCTCGAACATTCGAAATATCATCACTCCGCAGATTGGAATCAGCGCAGAAAACCCATGGAAGATTAAGATACAGAAATTGGTCAAGAAGATCAAGAAGTTCCAGGAGAAAGAGGATGGTGATGTTTTGCTGCTCCTCTATCATGTTGTCTGTAAATCTTCCCTCAGCATTCCTCAAGGTAGTGAAGAGTCCAGCCCATGTTGACATCCACGTGAAGAATGGGCCTCCTGGATTGCGAGGCCCGAGAGGGTATCGTGGAATGGCTGGCATACAGGGCCCTCCTGGTCCTCCCGGTCCCAAGGGAGCCCGTGGGCCGAAGGGTCCGGTAGGGTCGCAGGGGCTCGAGGGCCTCCAAGGACCCATCGGCCCCACTGGTGAAACAGGAGACATGGGTCCCAAGGGCGTCAAGGGCCCGCAGGTGAAGCCTACGGCTCCAGACAGGCTTGCGAATGCTGATGTAGCTGTGTGAAGGGACGAATGGGAGTGAGAGGCAGGAGAGGGAAAACAGGCCCGCCCGGGGCTCCTGGGAAGCCAGGGTATCCGGGACGACCAGGTAAGAGCTTCCGGATACGCACTCGTTGATGGGAGCTAACACAGGCGCTCAGGGAAACCTGGAGAGCCAGGCATGCAGGGGCCACCAGGACCGGCTGGAAGGGTGAGTCCTGCTCTGTGGTAGCTGCTGTGCCACACGCTTACGAGCTCGGATCAGGCGCCCCCTGGAGTCCCCGGGCCACCTGGACCCATGGGAGCAAGAGGTGCCGACGGAACGGACGGTGTGCGAGGACCGCAAGGACCTGCAGGTACAGAGAAGGACGAGCAAGTGTTCCCCTGACTCGTCCGCACAGGTGAAGAGGGAGCAAGGGGCCAAACCGGTCCTCAAGGCCCCCAGGGTACCAAGGGAAAGGATGGCAAAGACTTCCATCACAAGTGAATGCGGAGATACCGTGCTCGAATGAAATCTTCATCACAAACAGACCAGAAAATGTGATTTAGGATCCAGAGGGATCATCGCGGTCTGCCAGAGATTGGCCTCCAATTCTTGTCCTCCTGTGTCAGGAAGAAGGACTGTCCTTCATTCTCGTAGGCGTGCAATTTCTCCTTGGCTGACACAGCCCGCTGGTTACTCACAACCTCATGATCTATATCCACATGCTGAAGCACCTCCTGGTGAAGGGTGTGCTCTTTCTTTACCTCATTGCATTCTTTCAAAGGAGTAGGAGATTTGTCTTTCGAAGTGCTGATGACGTTCGCTGGTGGGCGTCTTGTCATGGAAGCCAAGCTCTTCTGCAGTTGTACTATTCGTCTCTGAACATTCGTGCTGTGCTGTTGCTTCAGCCTCTGTCTCAGTTGCTCTGGGGTTTCCGCCAGTGCTTTCACTGCTTCTTGCTTTGCTACCTCCAAGAGCCTCGAAGTGGATTCATGCCCCATCAGCTTGGCAATGTCCATGGCACTGTGACCCTCAGGTGTTGTGCTGTCAAGAGATACCCCAGCTCTCAGCAGCATCTCAATTGCCTCGTTCTGCCCGTACCATGCCGCCTGATGCAGGGCTGGAAAAGCATCAAGATGATGTTATTTGTCGAGTAGAGATGAGACCTGTCATTCCTCTCGCATTCACCAGTTCTTTGTCCAACTTCTTGTCTTCAAGCAGGAAAGCAAGCACCTAAACACAAGGTTCACGATAGACAATAATGTCATGCAAGAGCACGGGAACACCTCGAGTCTCTGTGTTGGAGCACAAGCAGCCATCAAAGGAGATGTTCCCCACTGGCAGTCGCAGCTGCGACCAATCCTTGTGAGCTTTCGTTCCTGACATCAGACATTCCAAACCTGTTGATGTCCGACCCGTCCTTCAGGGCATCTTGAACTGACTTGAGATCTCCTCGAACAACAGCAGCCAGCATCTTTGAGCCCCTCACAAGCTTGTAGACAGACGCAGATAATGGGAGAGACTTCAAGGGGATGCCACTCTTGTCTCCTCACGGTCTACAGGAGAAGCTTCATGAGCTCGAGCTCTCCCTTCTCCCATGCCTCCTCCGCTCTCTCCCGCAGGTGGTCAGCAGGGTTCATGTCAGTTCATGTCCGTTGGAATGGTCTACCAACATCTGCGGTTCACGTTATTTTGGCCGGACTCACTGAGTCCGAGTCAGGCCTCAAACCGTTGAACCGTCCGATCTACCGGCGTACTCCGGTGCTGGGCACTGGCTAGCGACGAGACTATCTGTAGTATCGGCGAATTTTTCAATGCTCACAAACTTGACAAGATTCATATCTTTCACTCTTCAAGCTACATTTCTATTCGAGGTCTTCAAATCTTCTCTTCCACATCATCTGTTGCTCAATGATATTTCTGGCAAGACAGTCATTAGGGATCATCATCGTAATTATCACTGATCTTCATCTTCATCATCACCACCATCACTGGCATCATCATCATCATCATCATCGTCATCATCATCATCATCATCATCATCATCAGTACTTCTGCTGTGCCTTCGATGCCGACAAGATGATATTGAAATCTCTCTCTTCCTTCCTGAACGGCTGAGGAATGAAAGGGTTACATGAGATTATCTCTTCTCGCCCCCTCGTCGTACCTCTTGATCCTCGTCTTCCACATACTCCGTCTCATCAGAAGAAGATGATTCCACACCCTAGTTGAAAAGTTCAAAACAAGCATGAGGATGCTCGAGGCGGACAATGGAAATTTGTTGACGGTGCGATAGCAATGTCTATGACACTGATTATGAGTATGACAAGTCGACTATGCAGATGATGATTATGATGATTATGATGATGATAATGGTGGTGATTATGATAATGATTATGATTATGATTATGATTATGATGATGATGATGATAATGATTATGATGATGATGATGATGATGATGATGAGTCACCATCTTCACGTCTTCATGCATGTATTTCTCTGCCATTTCGAGCAGGATTGCTGCTCGCCGCTGCTGCAGGGCGCTGATTTCCTTTATCCTGTTCTGTGAATAAGGTGAGCAAGGACAAGATACCAGGAAAGGATACAGGATGTTCTTCTTCATCTCTTGTTTCAACTCCCTCCATCTGCCACGTCATCGCACTCCCTGTGGCCTGTTGGGCCCGTTCTTGCAATTCGTCCTGCTGCACACGGGAGGAATACCTCTGCGGGCTTGTCCCCTCCGTAACATATTTCTGTCCACCCTCAGCAGGAGTGAGAGCAGGCCCTGGTCTGCGGAGAGAGGAGCTGCAGTCTCCTGCACATGGCGGCGCAAGGGATAGGCGAGGAAGTCGGCGAGGGAGGTTGAGCGATGAGGAGGAGGAATGGATGGAACAGCTCCTGGCAATGATGAGCTCATGATAGGTGCCTGAGAGAGAGAGTGCTGGAGGATAAGGATAGGAAAAGGATGATGATGATGATGAGGAGGCAGACGAAAGTTGTCAGGGAGGTTCAAGGAAGAAGCATCAGGACCTTGTGAGCAGCGTCTGCCTGCGAGATGGTGCGGGCGATCCGCAGTCCAACGTTGCGACTGAGCTCGAAGACCTGACCAGGTGAAGAAGTCAACAGAATCAAGTGGTAGAGGATGATTAGGAGGATTTGGGCAAGGGCAGAGCAACGGAATAGTTGAAAAATAAGCAGAGGAGGAAGTGAAAACAAGTCCCTCAAACTCACCCGCTTTGTAGCGCTGTCCAGAGAATGTTTTTGCTCCTCTCTCGAGATGTTCCTTGCAATTTGTGACGCCCGATGTTCGAAATTGAGAAGAGTGGAAGGGGAGGAGGAGGTAAGAAGAGTCGCTGCAATGATTGTACCATTGGGAGTCACAGCCCGAGGAGGAGGAGGAGGGAAGAGTTTGGAGTCAACTTGAGGATTGAGATGAAGGGGAGGAAAAGGATTATAATACAAGCCGGAGGCCCCGTGAGAAACTTGATGAGGAGGATGAGGATCAGGCTGAGCCGGCGAGGCCAAGGGAAGAGAGTGCCTGAGCTGGAGCTGACAAGCAGGGAAGTCATCGCAATAGAATAGCAGCGCAAGGTTTACCTGCTTTGTGTGCATGGTATCGAAATCTTGTCCTTCCTCAGGCAAAACAGGGAAATAACTGCCTTCCGGTTCCCATCCTCCTCCATCGCTTCTGGAATCCGTCTCACGCTTCCTTGATTCGCTAATCAGATCCTCTGCTCTGTTGTGGCCTAGAAGACGAGCGATAGAAGAGCGATCGCGGATTATCTCTCCGTCAGAGGACACTATCTGTACATTGGTTTGAACGGGCGAAGGTGGTCTTGGTTCCCCCCTGTAGGGTATTCTCCCCTTCTCCTGATCTTCTTCCTCCTCCTCACGTTGCCACATGTTTGACTGATGCTCCTTCACACTTCTACCACTTTCTTCTCCTCCCTCCTCCTCCTCCTCCTCCTCCTCTCCACCATCAATCTCCGACAACACGATACTTTGCACAGCCGAGCTCATCTCACTGCCAGCCAAGAAACGATCCACGGCCCCCTCCTCACTTCGGTCTTGGTAGTACAGCCGCATGTTCTTGCCGTACATGATGCTGAAGTTGTCGTTTGCCACTTGCCTCACAAATTCGCTTCTTGACTTCGCTGCCTCCGTCTCGCCCTCGTTGACACCTGACCTCCCCGCCACTAGCGATATGTTTCCTGGTAAGGATGTTGACAGCAGTTGCCCACCTTCAGCTAGCCGATCATTTCCCATTGTTTGCATATCTGACGGCAGAAGGGATGCGTGTTGATCGATATTTGACCAATGATCTCGTAAAATCTCCTCTTGGCCTTTTTCCTCTGGCATGCTTTCACCGTGCGTTGTCCCGCCAACCCAAAATTGAGAAGCTGATTGCGAATCGACATTCCAATCTCTTTGCCTAGCTACATCTTCTCCACTGCGGTCTTGTATTACCCTCATGGGCATTGAGCCAACTTGAACAGCATGCGCAAACTGTGTCGAACCTGCCCAGGCAGCTTGTGACTTTGTTCTATCACCATCTGCCTTGCGACTGTCCATCCATCCAGCTTCCTCCTTCTGCATCAGCATGGAAATGCATCAGCGAGGTTAAAGATCCACCACAAGAAAGTTCATCACCGTCTCGATGTCCGACATGTGCGATTCAATCAGGCTCTTAATCCTGTTCGACTGCTCCTGTAGCGTCTCCGACGTCCCTCCTACAATGCCTGCTCATCAACTGCAACACGAAGAGCCCTCACCTTCGCCTTGTTGGACACCGTCCATGTCCATCCTCAGCTGCAGCAGTGTGCGCGTTGCTTGCGTGCTTGTTCGTAGGGCAACCATCTCCCGCTGCAATGAATTCAAACGTTCAAGGATAGCGCTGCCGCTCTTCCTCGGCATCAGCTTCTGCGACACATGCTCTTGATGGACTTCCTCTCTCCTGCACATTAGTCCATGCTCGCTGCCTCTCCAGAGGGACGGCGCCCCCTGCTCCTCCCGCGGCGGCCCTTGTTCCTGAGCCTCAGCAACAGCCGGTTCCTTGGCTGTTGTTGCAGCCGACTTCAAGGAGTTCTGCACGAGCTCAACTCTCCTCCTGATCTCCCTCATCCTCAAGATCTTGTCTGATACAACCATCGTCTCGTCCCACATCGCCGCCATGTTCTCCCCGCCTCCCTTCGATGCTGCCGCCATGTTACTTTCGACGGGTTCGTTTCCAACTTGACCGTCAACTGCTTCCGGAGCTGTCATCCCGAATCTCTGGTCTACCATCTTTTTGGTTTCATCTTATACCCCTCGTACCCACCCACCTGATATGTCCCACCTCACCTAAAATCATGAAATCGAATCTGAACATTGACCCGTACTTTGATGACCCACCCAGATACTTATCAGAATTTTCAATTATAGAATGTGATGCTGATACCCCTCAAATAGTGAGTACCCCCTATTCAATAATTGCTCAGTTTCATTACTACCCCCTTCAAAATCACCCCACCCATACTTTTAGGCTTCAAGTCTTGTCCCCCACTGGTCGATCAAAAATGCTTGCTCACAGTAGCGAGAAAATGGTGCAGAGAGTTTGCTAGAGGAGGGGAGAGGAGCGAGAAGGAGGGGCAGTGGAGACAAGCAAAGATACGAGAAGAAGAAAGAGGAGAGAGGATAGAAGACGCGAGCCGAGTCTAGAGGAGAGGTGGACACAAAGTTGAATCTCATGGATGGATTATCCCAGGAACACATGGCAATCCCATAGCAGTAAGCGAACGATGGGCTTTTTCCACATAGGAAAACAGCCACGAAGGTTTGCCTACGAACTGAGTAAGATCGAGGTGAATCTCGAGCTGAGGCATTCGAAACAATCTTTACCTTGTTATATCTAGGCAGTACACTCGTCGTTCGAAGGGAAACTCCTCTGCCTTCGTTGGAGTCGGTATCTTATGCTGATAGACATTGAGACCTGAGCCTAATACCTGCCTGTCAAGCGGTCGCAAGACAGGAGCAACGAGGAATGTTGTGGCAGACTTTGATGGTGTCGAATTCCGTAGCTCCGAACAGGGATCGATTTGAACGCATGAACAGGTCGTGCCAAGTGGCAAGAGGGAGCCCTCAAGCTCTCTGCCACGCTCTACAGGTGATCTTGACTGTCGAGCGTCTGTGCCATGATGAGCAAGTGCAGCTCGGAGATCGGCCGATCGTTCGATGCCAAGGACATCAAGTTGACGTGGGTTGAGGCTGAGAGGGGGAAGGGATCGATGAACGGTTGCGACAGGGTTGAAGAAGTCGTGAAAGCTGGTGCCTATAAGATATTAGGGAGTATCAAGGTATCATCCTGTTTCTCTTCCTGTCTGCGATCGTTTGCTGAATTCAAACCTGCTCCCTCCTGAAGTTCGACTTGGCATTGGAGAGTGGGAAGAGTCTAGAGTCAAAGACTTCAGTTCACGACCTTGTCTTCGAAGGTGGAACAGCATACGGAGGTAGAGAAATTGGAAAAGTGAGTCGAGTGAGGATGACACGACACCGCACAGGACGTTTGAGGTTTACCCTGCGATCGTGTTTGGAAAGTGAAGACACTTCGCAAGAGTTTCCTGCGACATCAGATCAGGTTGGAGGCAGACTTTGGCAACCTTGCTTTGTCCTGATGGACTGCAGAATGAATCGACAGTGGATCGAGGAAAGGAGGCGAAGAAGGTTGAAGATCTGAAGAGCTTGGAAACGTCGCAGAGCAATCATGCGAGCGGACGGGGGCGAGATAGGAAAAAGGATCCAGAAGATGGAAAGAATGGGGTCAAAGGAGGAGGAGGAGGAGGAGGAGGAGGAGGAGGAGGAGGAGGAGGAGGAGGAGGAGGAGGAGGAGGAGGAGGAGGAGGAGGAGGAGGAGGAGGAGGAGGAGGAGGAGAGGAGGAGGAGGAGGAGGAGGAGGAGGAGGAGGAGAGAGAGACGGAAGGGAGG